TATTTCTATAAAACTTTGAATATGAAGTTCTAATTATTCATATGTGCATACATTTTTGATGACTTAAGAAAATTTTCCACAACAGTAGATAATGTGGGAAAGTCTATCAAATGACACATTCTGAAGGCTCAATGCTGACAGAGTGCTGCCTCAAAGAATAACTGACTTGCTGGGTTACGAATATTTCTTTATTTTTAATTTTCAAATGTAATGTAGAAAACATTGCAGTGAAATAACAAAATAGTGCAGTAAAATAGGATTGGCGACGATCAAACAACACGTGCGCCATTGATGTCTGCAAAAATTGCTACCAGATTGCTACCAAATCCGTGACGTAACCACGGCGCCTTTATTTCCCTAGTGAACCAACCTGAGTAGTAAAGTAATCTTGATGTAACCTATCCATCAAGATTCGCGGTTGTGCATTGCATTCCTTTCTCAATAAGGTTGTGAATGTGAATCTTGGAAACTGAGGTGCCATGGTGCCATCGTTACCAAGGTGATTGGTAGACAAATACAAGAAGCCAAATCGAATGTGTTCTTCATTTCACGCCGTCGTGAAATGAAATTCTCGACCAATCAAAACGTTCCGTTGTTTTGCTGATGCTGCTTGCTTAGCAAACATTCACAAGAGATGCCGAAACTACCCCATGGGGGTAGTTTGAGCTGGTGAAACTGGATTCTATCCCATATGGTAGAATGGAAATCTACCCCATGCCGAAATTACCCCACTTGGTGAAACTGGGCCCTCGGACATTTGTGAAAAGTACCGTCGTGTTTGTTCATTCAGAGTCAGTGTTTTATGGCGCTGTAGCCAATCCTGTCCATAATATTCCAACCTCTCGTAAATGCGAGTGTAGCTCTGTTGCTAGTTGCAACTCCGAACTCTTCTGCACAACCATTCTCCTCCCTGAATGTATCTCGGCAGCGATGAGATCAGGAAGCTCGGCACAAAGCCTCCCTGTGCCTGCCTCCCGAAGTCACTGCCCGGTGCTGGGTGCCCTGTGGCTCCCAAACTGCGCACCTCGAGAACAAACGACCTTCTCTACAACCTCGCGTCCTTTTTGCCGCCTTCTCTCCCTCTTTTTCGTCCAGACTTGTAGAAAAATGGCCACGCCGAGGCGCAACCGCCTTATAAAACACCCGGCGCCGGGGTCTTACGAGCCCACTCATTCCGTTAGATTGGGGCCCTCGCCACCCTCCTTCGACAGTCCCGGCATCCTTGCTATTTACAGGACCGTTGGCTGTCTGACTGGCTTGATTAACTGGGCGGTCAGTGATGCGTCCCGGCGCCCTTGGCCGTCACGAGGAGCTGGAACTGGAGTTCAATGGACTGTCGGCCGGCCGGCCGGACGGGGCGGGGCGGGGCGGGGCGGGGACGGTCGGGTCAGGCCGGTCCGCGGCCGGTCAGCTGGGCTGGGGAGCGCGTGCGCAGGGATTGAGCCCGGGAGCTGGCGGGGGAGGGGTGAGGGCTCACGGGGGAGGGGTGGGGGCTCGTGCAGCGGGCGTGACCTCGCCCGCGGCACAGCGGCAGAGAAGAGAGATGTCGGCATAAGTGCGCAGTGATTAGCGCGGTCTGTGCCCGGAGAGTTACACCGCTGGGATGAGGCGGGCATTGTGCAACTGTGTGCAGGCGCCCTGTAAACACAGGGTGCTCAGTAACAGATACTTGGAGAGGTGATTAGACGGCGAGCCGAGAAAACAAAACACTAGTTATGGGATATGCAAATTACACTGTGCTCACCCGCCCCCGTAACTCAGTGAGCCAGAAGAATATCTGACCGCTGAGCTGACGGCATTGCAGCTGCAATAGTGACAGATTCGAGGGCCTTTGGGGCATTTGTTTCTCCGGCAGCGTTCTAAATTCAATAAATTTGTCGTTGTCATTCCAAAGAAACAAAAATTTATACGCATTCACTGGTAGGTTTTCTTTTTTAACCCGCGCCCCGTAGGGCTACCGGCGGACTCTACCACCCGTAGGGGGGGGGGGGGGCGTTTCGGCCCGCCCTAAGATCTCGGAAATTTACCGGCCGATTTTCGAAATTCAAACGGCGTTCGATAGCCCCACCGGGGAACTACCTTGTGACCAAATTTCATTGACCTAGGTCAAACCGATGACGTCACAGGTCAGGTCAAAGGTCAGATTTTCACCGTTCACAGGCATTTCAAGAAATGTGTTGTGAAATCGAGTAAATTGGTAAGTTATTGAAAACCATCAATGGTACATTGTTCTTCAAACACATACTTCCCTATCTGAGGTCACTGATACCAGGTCAGGTCACAGAGGTCAGGTCACTGGGGTCACAATATGAAAGTGTCGTGTGATACATGTTTTATGGTCCATTTTACATGACAAATGCGATTATGTGGGTCAGGCAGCCTTTGGGGTCAGTTTAGATTATCTTCCGGTGAAGGTCAGGTCAAGGTCAGGTCAAATTAGGTCAAATTTCAAAGTTGATATTTTTGCATAAAATGGGTATTCATTCGATGAAGCTCGTCACGGGGAGTCCAATGGTGGTCTTTGTTTTGCCCTACGTGGTCTAGAATTGCCAAAAACTGAGTTTGAAAATTTGACGTCATCATTTTTGAACAGTTTTTTCGCTATAACTTCGCCAAAAAAAGGAGATATCGATCTGAAATTTGGTATGTAGATAAGACGGTAGGTACTATCACATATATTCCGGGTTTTTTTCGAAACTCAAAAAACATTTTGGATTTTTTTGGCTAATATATCCAAAAAATTGCTTTTTTGATTTTTGGGGGTCAAAAATCAAAAGTTTCAAAAATCTGAGAATATAGTTTTGTAGCCCTGTCAATTCTACACCTTTTATGTCCGGATCATTTTTCTGTATCTTCAAAGCTGTAGGCCTGACAGCTCTTCTCGCGAAGGTCTTTTTTCGGTCGAAAATGGCAGAACATGACGTCATTCTGACGTCATTTGTGGCCAACCTATCATAGCCTCTGGAAAATTTTTTGGTCACAATGTGTAAAATTGATGCCCGGAGGGGTCCTGAAAGTTTGGTGGCGATATCTGCAGCCGTTTAGGAGATATCGACGGAAAAGGACAGGGGGGGGGCCGTTTCGGCCCCCCCCCCCCTACGGGGCGCGGGTTTTAACCCGGCAGTTGCTGGGGTATTTCGCCACCCACCGTTTGCTGGGGGGGGGGGGCGTTTATTTATTTATTTATTTATTGCGGTTCTTGGCGATATCCACATCGTGGCTCTTAGCGCGCCGCGTCAGTACATGGGCGAGACTTATGACAGTTCATACAATAAAATACCAGTAAAACGCCTTTTGGGCGAAGAACGAGCGAGCGAGATAGTGAGCCCTGCACGTGCGGAAGGGCGAGAGGGTACTTCCAACGGGCTTGCGCAAAGCACCCTTCTATCCAGTCGCGTTAAACGCCCCCAGCCAATAACTCGAGAACCAATAGGCGCAGCGAAACGCATGAGGCGGCAAACGAAAGAACGCGACGAGACGCTTCAGATGAGTACTTTAAAGTTGAATTTTGAGGTCAAAGGTCGGGTCAAGGTCAGGTCAGACACCTGAAATCGGGCTTTCAGTAGCATGGACTTCTGGACTTCGCAATGAGCGCCTCTCGTCATAAACTCTGTCAAAACGGTGCACAATCCATCATATAAGGCCTACAAGAGTGTCAGCCCCATGTAGGGGTCAGTCCAGCATAGGTCAGGGTCAAGGTCAGGTCAACCGGGTAGGCACATACCTATCCCCGAAAATCAAAACTGATATTCGCAGCCTGTGACACATGTTTTATGGGTAATTTGGGGCGTAGAACACGATGGTGACATTCATTTTATCATATGTGTACGTGTTTGGCTCAAAAAGTTCAATTTAAGAAATGTATGTATCATGGTCGTGAAGTAGTCACGAGAAATTACCAAGATTCAGATCAAGATTTTGGCAAATGCGAAACGATAATCAATAATCGAAGATAGCCATTTGATTGTTCATGGTATTGGCAGTCTAATGCCGTTTACGGCATGTCTGTATGTCTATTTTGTGATTTTATATGATTTTTTGAACATATGCCGTTTTTGGTCGAAAACTCAGAAATCATGACGTCACTAAAACCTCGATATCTCAAAATTTTTCCGACCGATTTTTTTTTGAAATTTTGTCACAATAGACTTCAATCAATTCCCAACAGGTAACCAAGATTTGGCGCGCCTGCGGCGCGCCGTTTTTATGCTATGGCCCGGCGAAAAAAGTGGGGGCGTTTAACGCCCCCCCCCCCCCCCCCCCCCAGCAACTCGCGGGTTAATTGACCAGCAACGCAAAACAAAGTAAAATCATATACGTTTTTTTATTGGAGACCCTTTTAGGGAGGATGGCCCATCCCCAAATTGTCGGATAGCACGTTTCTGGATCGGCTAGTGCAGTGGTTAGATGATAACGCGGTTGGAGTCAGTTCGGTGCTCGGCGCTCGCTGTTTGCTCGTTGCAGGGATAGTGGTGGTCCTTGACATTTATTTACCAGATTAGGTGAGGCCGGTGAGCCTACCTGGGCGGACACGGCTGATGGAAAATGTGTCGCAAATGTTCCACTCTATTATACTTATCGACGTCCCTGGCTGGTTTAGATGAGACTCTGTCTTCCATCCCAGCTGATTATGTTCACGTTTATACATACATACATGTATGTATATGTGAAAAGGCATTATTGCGAATCCGGTTAAAACATATGAGAGTACAGCAAAATATGTTATATTATCTGTTACATCTGTTTGTAGTAAGATTAGACGAAACTCATGCATATTTAAAAAGTAAAACACCGAGAAAACAGGATAACATATGGTGAAGCTGAGTGGTTCACCATCTGCCACAGATGGTTGAGGACAGTGACTTTCGGATCCTGTCTTTCCTTCACACCTTCCGTTACCTGGTCACCTTTTTATGCTTGAGTTTACGAGCTATGTATCATGTGTCTCTTATCTCATCATCTATCATCTCTCTCACAGCTTTCTTTCTCCCTCTCCACAGGTGCCCGCCTCACCCCTCCACCTGCCAGAACCGAGTCGGGCCCGGCTCTGACGACATTTCAGGTTTCCTCCCAGGGACCATTCCAGCAGCACCTCCAGTACACATTCCAAACCCCATTCCAGGCGCCGTTCCAGTCTCCGTTCCCCGCCCTGCTCGAGGCTCGGTCCCAGGAGGTTTACGCCGCTGTGGAGAGGACGTACGACGACGCGCCGCTGGGGGAGGTGATATCGGCGGCCCCCGAGGAGCCCGCCAGCGTCAGACCGCTGACCTCTGAGGGGGAGACGCCCGAGGGGGACACTGGGGACGCCACCGACGACGGTGCCGACGCTGAGGAGACGGAGGACGGTCGGCTCGAGCTGGAGGGTGATGACAGTGTGCCGGGACCGGCCGTGGACCGGGAGGTGTCCCGGCTGGGAGTCTTCCAGTCGCCCCGGCCAGGTCAGTGAGCGCACTGTGAGAGGTACTCGTACAGCACAGTAGAGGGAACGCACTGTGAGAGGTGCTGCAGAGGAAACTGATGGCTTTTTCGGTACCGAATAACGTATGTGCAAAGGTATATCCGTTGAGGGAGCTGTTCACGACCGGTGGATCGATGTGCTTACGAAGAAAATAATTTAGAAGTTTTTTTAAAGTACCTATGTCTTTAGCTGTCATGCTGTTTACCTTCATTCACTAGCTTACTAGCATTTTTTCAGGGCATTTTGCATAAATATTTTAGTCGTTTCTTACACATAAAATGTGCTTCAATCTAGCAACATTTCTCTTTACTAAAGATGTTCGCAGTCAATCTATTATGCGATAACTGGATATGTGTTCGTCGGCAGTTTTATCGGATCCCGCTCTGTACAACCGGCTTCTGTGTGAGAACCCTGACGGTTCTCAGGGCGTGTGCCATGAGAACCAGTTGAGCTGCAAGCTGAGAGGAGGCTCCTTCAGTCATAAATGCTCCGGCGGAAACGGCGTCTGCTGCGTGTGTAAGTAAAAAAGGGTCAGTCCTCAATTATGTGTCTGCCAATCGTGGGTTTCCAGACGCCTTGAACCTTGGGTGATTTTTTTTTTCTTCTTTTGACGAATTGCATATGTATCCTGCCACCATCGTACCCTCTTCGGTCTCCCTATAGTAGGAACCACATTGCCAAGGATATAACTTACTGTTTTTGCATCGATTATTGCTATTGAATTGCTTTTGTGTCGGCACGTACCAAAAACAACCGAATTCATTATACGTTATTGTTTTAGGCAAAGTCCGTATGTTCCCTAACGCACACGTCTGGTCTTTTCCCAGTCCAGAGCAGCTGTTCCTCGTTCACCAGGGAGCGCGTGTCGTACTATCGAAACCCCGACTTTCCGTTGAACAGCACCGGGAACCGCATCTGCAACTACAAAGTTGTTCTACAGCCGTCGACATGTGGCCTCCGGTGAGTAAACGCTCAGTATGCATGTCATGTTTGCAACATCGCCGATTTCTAGATGACGTGAATCCGATTCGGAATGAGATATGCCTCGTGTTTATTCCATTTAAAACAAGGTATTCTGTAAAGAATTTGGCTTCCCTGAGCAATGGAAACAGGCTGACGTTCGTGCTAGTAAGCTCTTCGGATGGACAAAAACAGGTTTGCCGTTGAAAGCCGGAATGAGTCTTATCTCGCTCCTTGAGACGACACCGTAACTGTGCACTCAGCACTGTGAATGCAGTGAGGCTGTTGGCACGTGCCTCAACTAAGTAGGCTCACTGTAGCCTGGTCATTACCTGTCCAAATGTGGGCCAACAATGAAGCGTTTCACCACACGTCAATGCTTTCAGTGAGGCCACACTGCGAGATAAGTAATGTGCCTGCTTGTTTCTACGCTCTTAAGCGTGTAGTTTGTACTTTTCCCATACCTGCTACATTGCATGATTAAATCGAGACATCCAGACATTTTAATGGCACGTGCACTGTACCACACTTTTCAAAGTTTAATGCAGTGCTTTAACCCTCGCACGACCAGGCCATTTTTCATAACACGAACGACCAGGGGGGGGGGGTTGTTACGACCCCCCCCCCTGGCGTTTCGAAACGGAAGGTCGTAGAGCTTAGCGGAAAAAACCAACGGATTGCTCTCAACGAGATCTCGCGATTGGTGGTATATTGTTTGGTCCTAGGTCAACATTTGACCTACTTTTGACCGGTCAAAGGTCAAATTTTCGGAAAAATAGACTTTTTTCAACTTTCGGCGGCGATTGCGGCAAAACGGTGGGAGATATCGACTTGAAACCTTCACTATCGTGTTCCTTGATCAATTCTCTATCGTTTGGTATGTATTTCGTTTCCCTACCTCAAAAAATGGCGCGTTGGGAGCGCCGGAAGTCGGCAAGGTCACAGTCGGCGGCAGAAATTCGAAAAATCAAAATTTAAATTTTGGAAATCTGATTGTATTTTTGGATTTGGGAGGTCCATTTGCTCCCTATAGAAGCTAATATTGCTGCATATTCCCATTGAGGTGACAAGAATTAGCAAAATAGTGGTTCGGGCGCTTTTCAAAAATAGTACCGGACGCTGTTCCTCTTGTGACGTCATAGCTCCGTGACCTGACCTGACCCGGTCAAATTTCTTATACCATATGATAGCCAATTCTTGCCCCAACATGCATGGGAAGTTTCATCACGATCCATCAACCGATGTCCGTACCACCGGCAGGAAACCTCGGGCGTTGGCACTCAGTTTGTGAAAATCCGGCCGGAGGCTGTACCTCTTATGACGTCATAACTCCGTGACCTGACATGACCCGATCAATTTTTTTCGGCAAAAGATGCGCAAAGGTTGCCCCAGAGGGTATTGAAAATTTCAGCCCGCTACGACAAGCCGTTTAGCGTGCACTTCGAAAAAACCTCAGGGGGGGGGGGGTTGATACAACCCCCCCCCCCTAGGCGTTCTAGGGTTAATATTGCCAGCCGTGTGGTTCAAGGGGTGTGGTTAAACGCGTTGAACCACACGGCTGCTGACGTCACTATCAATTATAGTTGTGAGCTTTTTGGCAGGTATGGGAAACACCTTCCAGCCCTAAGGCCGGGAATTCAATAAATGTCACCTCGCTTTTTTAGCGAAAAGCACCTCGGGCCTAACGGCCCTCGGAGTTTTCGCTAAAAAACCTCGGTGACATTTATTGAATCATCCCGGCCCCGGGCAGGAATATATTACTATTGCCGACAAGGTGCTGTGCTACAGAGGTTGACTGGAACCGGGTAGGCTGCGCCGCTAAACACCCAGGTCAAGCGGCACAGTATATCCGTGTGCCCTCGCTTCTGCTACAGACGCGTTGGGCTGGGTCAGGGTAATCCATGGCTAAGCAGAGGGAATGCCATCCCCGGCATTCAGCACTGCTACCTGACCCAGAGGCAGTTTAAGCGGCTAGGCCTATTGACTAAGCCACGGGACCCGATACTCGGTCAAGCACGGCCGAGAGACGATAGCGATATACTGTGCCGCTAGGCCTGGGTGTTCTGCGGCGCAGTCTACCGTTCCAGTCAAACGCTGGGCCGCCGTGGGGTGAACATCGCTGTGTAAGCAACAGTACAGTTACGCGCAGGGGCCTGTGAAACGTTCGTTGATCTAACCCCGTCGTCTGTCGCCACAGGATCGACTTTATGAACTACACGACGGAGATCACGCCGTCGTGCACGGAGACGCAGCTATCCGTGTTTGTGGGGGACCATACCAGGACGGCGCCGCAGTGCGGGGTGCGCACCGGATACTCCAGTGAGTGTAGCGGGCGTCGGCAGGGAGACGGTGGTCGGCCATGACGGCTAAATGTGTCAGGAAAACATTACTTGGTCGTTTACCAGCTTACTAAAAAAATATAGGTATTTTATCTTATGATTATAAAATAATTTTGAAATAATATAGGTACGGATCGACACTTTTTCGAAAGCGAGTACCGAGTCACCGACGCTGTTTCTAAAGAGCTCTTCTGGCTTGTGCTGCCATTTCAAAATAAGGGTCAAAGACCTTCGTTATTGAATAAGCAAAGTAAGGTTTCTTTTTTTGCCGTTCAAGATCCTACACCACGTAAGCTTCACCTGCCGTATATTGGAAATGAACCATATACCTCCAAATCCCTCCCGGCTCACCAAAAGGAGTCGTATTTGATCTACTCACGCCGCGCCTGGCCCCGCTCCCAGTGGTGTTTGACAGTCTGAACGCGACCAGAGACAGGGAGGCCGTCATCAGCCATGTGCTCGGCGGCCGCGAGCCCTACGCCTTCGAGATCCGCGTCACGCAGATGCTCTGCTCGTCTGTGAGGCCCATCCCCGAAGAAAGTGAGTGGCTTTTATCGGTAGTAGCTTCATATGGCTACGAGAGATGCATGTGCGAGTACGCCATCATTGAATGATGCGCTGCTTTCTGGCTGAACTTTGCTTATCATGATGCCCTGACCCTGAGTTATGTATTGACGTCTTCACTTATTGACCAGAAAACGTAGTAGTCGACGTGTATCTTGTAATAGGACTCTCACCAGCCACTGATGTGAGGCCTCTGTTACGTCTCTGTGACCCCTAATGTGACTGTCTGTGACTGTCCCTGTAACCCCAGGCGCCTGCGGTCGGCGGAACGTCGGTATGGTCCGCCACAAACGGGAGGCACCACGGACCCCTACCGGCGCCACTCTCTTCCCCACCGGCGACCCGGACACACCTCTGGGTGAGCAGACCGGGGCGGGAGAACTCGGTGGAGGACTGTGGATCATTATAGCGCAGATCTTTCTCGAGGGTCGCTGAATGTCTTGAGTTACTTATTTGTTACCTTATAAGAGGCAATAACATGCATCTTAATTTCAATTTCCAAAAGTTATCAAATTCAAGCGTAGTACCTAATCTTTCGTCATAACGTTTTCTGAATGTGCAGCGGTGTACAGTGCACACTCCTTTTCTTTTGCCCGGGCAGACCGCACCTGCTATTTGCATTGCATCGCACCTTCATTACCAGTGTCTCCTAATGCCCGTCTGCCCCCCAACAGAGCTGGAGATAGCCGATGCCGTGGACGCGAACGGCAGTCAGCTGGCGACCCGTATCCTGGGTGGCCGCGAGGCGGAGGTCAACGAGTGGCCCTGGCAGGTGGCGCTGCTGAAAAAGGTGGTCACCAAACAGGGCAAGCGGGCGGCGCGCTTCTTCTGCGGCGGAACACTCATCGGCAAGGAGTACATCCTGACGGCCGCGCACTGCGTCGACAAGTCAGTATAACATCGCTGCCTTACGCTCTCGGAGTTGGCACGCTCTCGTAAATTAAACCGTGTGCTGAATGTAAAATTACACAACCTTAGCCGGGAATCGAAAAAGATCGTGCATACGTAGACTTGTTTGTTTGTCTTTCACCAAAGACGCTCGTTCTCGCCATGGCACTCACCATTGACCGCGCTCTCATCGTGTCTCTGCCAGATTCGACGGTTTCAACCACACGGACCTGCGCTCACACCTGATCGTGCTGCTGGGCGACCACGACCTGCGCTTCCTGAACGAGTCGAAGCAGGAGTTCCGGCGCGTGTCGCGGGTGATCGTGCACCCGCTGTACGACTCCAGCCGCAACCAGCACGACATCGCGCTGCTGCAGATCTCCAAACCGGTCAACTTCTCCGGGGCCATCGCGCCGGCCTGCCTGCCCAAACGGCCCAGGTGCGTGCGTAAAGTGTAGGACAGGACATAAATCAGGATGGGACTTTGGGACGGTCTCTCTGATTTGTGCATTATTCTATGTGTTTGTGAGTGAAAAGCTAAGCGGTTTACTCATTTCACGACGTTTTCCAATTTTTGAATTTTCTCTGGGAGTTCTACAATTGAAAGTAACTGTGAATGATGGTTATTTCTTACATAACATTTGCTTACATCATTGGTTTTCAGTGGCACTGCTAATTTTAGCATTCTGTCAAAAAAATGAGGCTTATATCTCATTCCAAGCCTCTCCACTCCTCCGTTTCTGCCACTCTCTCACAATTCGACCCTTGCACGCAGGACGTTTACGGACACGGACCTGAACATATCGGGCTGGGGCGTGGTGTCGTTCAACGGCTCGCGCCGCGGCCCCACCTCGTTCGTACTGAAAACCACCACTGCCAAGGGCGTCGACCGCGCCGCGTGCGACAAGACGTGGGACGACTTTGACAATCCGGGGACCGTGTACCGGGAGCTGCCGCACCTCACCGAGAACCAGGCCTGCGTCGGAAACTCGCCCGGAGCCGCCTGCTTCGTGAGTGGCGCACAGGGATCGGTCAGATGGCTTGGTACCGATCGGAGTGTAGGAATAGTACGTGGTTGCTCTTCATAGAATAAAGTGAGGAATTGTAAGGCGAGGTCCCGCGAGGGTGTTTTATCTTTACTCCCTCTATGGTCGTCTTTGAATGATTTTATGCGTTACATAATTTTGAACTCAATTACCATATATGCACGAGAACATATTCAGTCAGCTAACCAACCAAAGTCAGTGTTGTGTAATGTCTCCGTTTATTTGCTACCGATGCATGATATTGGTAAGCCTCGTAAATCACACTTACGGCTCTCTAATCTATCGCCCTTGTTTCGCTAACCGCCCGTCGTTCGGTCCTTCCCTGGCAGGGTGACAGCGGCGGCCCGATCACGACTCAGGAGGAGAGCGGTCGGTTCACAGTGCTGGGCGCCGTCAGCTTCGGCCCGCCGCTCTGCAAGGTGGGCGGCAAGTTCCCCACCATCTACTCGCGCGTCGCGGCCTACCTCGGTTGGATCCAGATGGCCATGGTCGACATCTTCTGACCGGACCGGCCACCGAACGCTGGGTCTGAATAGGGCCACTGATTGTGAAATGTATTGGAAGTACGGAAACGCGTCAAATGCGCGTGCATCTGTCTGGAGCATCTGCTGCATCTGGTGAACCAGCATTGTGAACGGCAGTGTGTCACAGGGCATTCGGGGTGGCTGTGTGCATGTCGTGTGTGGCAGCACGTGTGGAAACAGAGTGGGCATAATAAACAAAGGATGTGTATCAACGAGACGATTAGAACGTTCGAATTGCTCACATGTTAGTCCAATGTCCAGCAGCTGAATTATATATGCACTTATTGTCTTATATAAAAGGACAATCTCATTCATGTCGGTTGTAAAAGTTGCGTGATCAATGATCATTCTCTATCGTTATTGCAGGTATTTTTTCATCTATGCAGTAGGTATGAATAATCTTTGGGTTCGGTGTCGAAAAATCAACACGGCTCTGCCGCTCTAAGCCAGTTATAATGGCAAATGCGAGACATTATGCTTAAAAAAAAAAACGCTTCCTTTGAGACCGTCCTTTGGAAGAAAACGACTTTCTCATTTGATGTTGATGTGGTTGAAATGTAGGTATCTGTGTAAATTGTATGTAGTTTGTGATTGAAGTGGGTAGGTATGTGTGATGGAGAAATAGACAAACTTTCAAACGCGTGTTGTTCATGAAACATTCTAAGCCTTCGAAAGGCTTCTGCGTTGAGGGCGAGGGCAGCCTCGCGATGAGCCATTCCACCAATGCTTGAAGAGCTGGATATATTCATGTGTTGTAGGATTAAAGATTAGCATCTACCTATCCCTGTAATCTTTAAGTGACAGAAACGAGGGTAAAGAGAAAAAAACGTTCAAACTTTATAAGGTACCCTCAGCGTTTTCCCCACACGTGCTATCAATATCTACCTCCCGAAATATATTTCCGGTCGGTTGACTGGCCTGACATTACCTAGTGTTAAAAGTGGTGGTTTAAGAGTGGAGAATCAGGCGCATAAAAATGAATTAAGGACCAAAGAGATAAAATACGTTTGAGTGGCTGTATTGGAGATGGCGGTACGTAATCACAGGCAATGGTCGGTGGGTAGGTGGGGCGCTACACAGGCAATAATCGGTAGGGTAGGTGCACACAAGGCGGGTAGGTGCCGACCGTCCAGCGGAAGGTGAGGGCAGCTCTGTATGCCACCCCCACTCCCGACTGGCGGGGAAGGCCGAGGGGAGCAGGGACCGAGAGAGAGACGGACAGCCGTGGCCGATCCGGAATACCGGCCACCGTCCGCCCCGCCTCCCGATCGCCTACTGCCCCGTCCAGGCACGACCGGGCCGAGGTCGCCGCCGATCACGTGACCGGTGCCAGGTCAGCGTGCATGCGCCTCCCGTGTCACGCCGGCCGGCTGGGCCGCGGCGAGCGGCCGGGTGGGGCAGCGCCGCCGCTCAATAACACAGCGGGGTAACAAATTCGACGCGACACAAACAAACATAATATAATCACAACGATGTTACGATACCATAAATGCATAACGTAAATGCAAACTTAACACCTAGCAATGAAGAAAGAATGAATCATTTATCAGTCATGAGCCAATATTTATGCATTGACTAAAGGCATGCATGTCCTATTAAATTGTCCTATTGTATGCATTATCCAGGATCGGACTGGCAAGATTCCTTTACTACCGGACTGGTGCCGTCCAAATATCCTTCACTGGCCAGCGCTTCCAAATATATGGCAGCACGGGATGATACCACTTTTGCGGCATATGATGCGCGTCTGAGACAGTATGAATGCTTGTTCGCCTTTCTAAATTTTCTGCTGCTTTTGCGAGTTGCCTAGCAACGAATTGCTCGGAAACTGTGATTCCAGCAGGTTGCTAGGCAATTAGCTTATGTGAGTTGTGTAATGATAAATTTTTGAATACCATAGCAATCCTACCCGGCGCCTTATGAGCTGAATCTGAATCAATGTTTGAATTTGTTCTCATGGGACCGTGAATATTTTGCCGTTTCTGTTGTTTCCGTGTATTGTCGCAAGTTGTGCATCACTCAGTGTAGCTGATTCCTCAACTAGATAAATTGTTCATTAAAATCATCGAAAATGTCATATGATAGTGCTATCACGGTATTCTCACCTGATGGTCATCTCTTTCAAGTGGAATATGCCCAGGAGGCCGTCAAAAAAGGGTCAACAGCGGTGCGTATTTTCATAAAATAAATTGTCAGTAATATTTTAACCTTCGCCCCAGTGGGGGGGGGGCATATGTTACCACCCTGTCGCGTTTTTTGCGTGTAAATAAAAAACCGCGGCGCGTAGCGCCGCGCCGCTTGGGGTAGCTTTTGGTACATCAATTTTGGACAATGTGTGAAATTTTTGACCCCAGGTCATGTCAGGTCAGGTCACAAGGTCAAGTTAACTGACCAAGCCTAAAAAAAAGTTTGCAATCATGTCCAGCCAGTAGTGTTTGTCGGAAAGGTTTTAAACTTGGTGGATTGGATGATGTTATGGGCGCCTACAATTTGTATATCTCGGATTTTTTATATCCGTGACCTAAGGTCAGGTCAGTGGCGTGACCTTTCCATTACAAGTCAATGGAGAAAAATGAAAATGCCTCTAGATCCGTGTGTACGCATAGGAACAGTCCAAATATTTCAGAATCACAATGATTTGGACCACCCGTGATGAGCAAGGTGTCATTTTTGCTGGTAGCCTCTAGAAAGGTCATCCGAGGTCATTTGAGGCTACAAACAGTTTTTTGCCAATGACTCAAGATTGGAAAGAGATAGAACGCTGGGGATGGTCTCATTGTGTTTGTCTTGCCGAGACGCATCGACTGATATGCAACATGACCTTTTCCGGTCAGGTCATGACCTTGACCTGAGGTCAAATTTTCAAGTTGACCTTTCAAGGTCAAATTATAGTTCATTCGACGCGTCTCGGCGAGAGGAACACGATTCTGGCAATAGAAATGTCGTGGCTTTTTGTAGTCGAAAGTTATTGTCGAAAAACACTTTTCGTAAAAACAGCTATTTTTGGAGTTTTTGCCCTCTGGAGGCTAAACCGTTGACCTGAGGTCAATTTTGATAATGACGTTATCAAAAGAAGAGTTCAAAAGCTATCGATTGCTGTTCCATGCGTTTTTCTAGCTACCATAGTTCCCGAGATAACCGCATGTTTTCTGAAAAATATAATGACCATTGGCAAATTTTGACCTTTGATGACCTCTGGTGACCCCAATATTGCTCTAAGATGAAAAATGACTGAAATACTTTCAAACTTACGCATTGAGAGCTATCGACTGCTTTTTACCGCGTCTTTCTATCCCTCTTAGTTTTTGAGTTAGAGGTGGGTGGTAACATATGCCCCCCCTCACTAGGGCGAAGTTGGCTGAGACCGCCACTGGGGCGCGGGTTAAGGGCTTCCAGATAGGATTCTATCATATGGTACATTAGATAGGCAGGGCTGTCACTAATTGTTGCTTGGGTTGCCCCCAAAATAAATTGTTTTTGTTGTAAGTTGTATACCTATATTTTTTTTTTTTTTTTTGTTGGTTTCCTAATCCTCAGGCTGGTCATTTGTCATGCTGAGATTGGTATCATGTCTTATGTTGTATTGTTAATTGTTGTTCAGATCACCAGATTTACTTATTTTTAATGGTGGCTGTCGGAACACTTTTTTGAATAATTTTGAAAAACAACACAGAATAGATATTGCAGCTGCCAAGTTTAATCACAGCTTTGTGTGCTATTCAATTTCAACAAATGTATTTAGATTTTAGATTCCTGGAATGCTTTCTATTTTCTATGTCTTGCTTCACTTCATCAGCCTTTGTACAGCATTAAAAATACTTGCATAGATAGTAAAAACCAACATTAAAAAGACAATATTCTGAAAACCTGAAAATCTATAAACATCATTTGTGGAAGTAAAACACCATAAGAATTAAGAACACTCCATTATTTTTTGGAATGTTACTTTTGTCTATTTTGTTTATCTTTTGTATCTATTTTTGGTGCTCTAGACATGCTGGTGAGGGAAGATGGATGTATTTCTTTGAGAAATACAAAGCTGGCATCCTGAGCAATATTTACTAAAACAATATTATTGTCTCAGCAGTTTGGTTAGCACCTAATGCTTCTGTACTAACGCTGCTGGCTTTTCCCCCATCAGGTTGGTGTGAGGGGCAAGGACGTGGTTGTCCTTGGAGTGGAGAAGAAATCAGTGGCCAAGCTGCAGGAGGACAGAACTGTCAGGAAAATCTGCCTCATTGATGACCATGTGGTCATGGCATTTGCAGGTAATTACAAACCTATTTTTTACTGGAGCATGAGTCAGTTTCTAACTTCACATAATCTCCCTTGTCATTTTCACTTAGTTTATGTGTAACTCATTTGTTTGATAAAAATGTCATATATTATGTGGCATTCAAGGTGACAATTTATTTAAAAGTGCTGGAACCTTAACAATGTCAAAAAGTGATTACCTAGCCTTACTGTCTAGGTAATAGGTATTGATTATTTGCTGTCAATAACCAAGATGAACAGAGCCAGGAGCTGGGCTAGCTAGGTACAACTTATCAGAGCTGGGTCGCTACTGGCCTGATTGTGTCTCTGTGCTGCTTTGTTCTGTCACCATTCCTGCTCTGGCTATGCACTCTGTGACCTGAACAGTGAACAGGTAATACTTCTCCCTACTGTCTCCCCACTGTGAACTGTCACTGTCCTTGCTGCTATCTCTTTTAGCCATGTCCTGTACCAGTACTGGCACTGCTTCCACCTGCTCTGTGACCTGTGACTGACGTCTCCCCGGTGTCTGAGCAGGTCTGACGGCCGACGCGCGCATCCTCATCAGTCGGGCGCGGCTCGAGTGCCAGTCGCACCGTCTGACCGTCGAGGACCCGGTCACCCTCGAGTACATCACGCGCCACGTGGCCACACTCAAACAGAGCTACACCCAGAGTAACGGGCGGCGGCCGTTCGGCATCTCGTGCCTGATCGGCGGCTTCGACTACGACGGCACGCCGCACCTCTATCAGACGGACCCGTCCGGCACCTACCACGAGTGGAAGGTACCGCCAGCAGAGCGGTTTGAGAAGAGAATAGTCTTACACCGATGCTTGGTTACTTACTTTTTGATGCATATATGTGGAGGCAATTGATATCGATTTGAAAGTCCCAATGCTTTTTTTTCAGCCTAGATTGCAATCACCATTAGCATGCTTATTCGTACCTACCCTGGCTGCTGTGCTCTATCTTTTTTTCGACCACATTAACATTTGGAGAAGCTGACACATAATATTATGTTCACTTTTCTCCTAGTACCATTATTCTTACCCGAAAAAATCTAGGAAACCCTGACGATAACATAACTCTGACATTTTCTATGACAGCACTGCCCGCCACCTCGCCTCCCGTCAGTGCCGACTTTGCCCTCACTCCCCTCTGTCTCCGTCAGGCGAACGTGGTCGGCCGGAGCGCCAAGTCTGTGCGCGAGTACCTGGAGAAAAACTACTCGGCGGAGGCGGTGGAGACTGAGAAGGGCGCCGTCAAGCTGTGCGTCTGCGCGCTGCTCGAGGTGGTCCAGTCGGGCGGAAAGAACCTCGAGGTGGTGCTGATGCGGCGCGGAGAGCCCATGAAGGTGATGGCAGTCGCCGCGGCGCGCTACGGGGGCGGGCAGGGCCGAGTTTAAGGGGGGGGGGGGGCGACTGGGATATGGGAGACCGCTTGATTCACAGCTGGTTTGTTACCGGTTGTCATGAGTTATTCCCTGTTTTGATTTGCTTTTCGTTGTTTAATTCCTGAATGCGTATGTTGTAGGAGTTGTTCCTAACTTGTCTTGATTTACATTATTTCCGTTTCTCTTCATTCGATTTTCCTTACGCCAGTTTGCATCAGACATATGATTTTCGGTCTTGTATTTACATATATTCGGAGTCAATTGCAGCCTATTCGTACAAGCACAACAGATCCCGCATGCGTAAATCCTTTTGTCTGTGACTTTTTCGGAAAATGTTACAGCGTCCATGATGTAGAATGGTTGGCCTCGGACGACACATGATGACATCGGCTCATCAGTTTAATATGTTCTCGGTGTGTTCGCAGATCATGGACGTATCCGAGATCGAGGAGTACGTCACGGCCATCGAGAAGGAGAAGGAAGAGGAGGCCGAGAAGAAGAAGCAGAAGTAGACCGCACGCGCCACACTCACCGAGCAGGGCTCCTCTCATCTGAAAACTCGCTGTCCACGCTGATTCGAATAAACGCTGATGTTCAATCGTCAGGATGTGTAGCATGATGTGTCTGAGACTGAGCTGTCAGTTATATATCAGAAAGGAAAATACTTTTTATAATGAAGCTATTGTAATTTTGTTGGTTCTGTTCTGGGTGGGAGCCTGGGTAAGAGAAGTCTGGGTAGGAGCCTCTCTGGGTGTCGTGTCGGCGCCATTTGTGGTTGCGCACTTCCGCCATCTACAGACGGGGTACTGAACAGTGTGCATGATGGTGACGTTTTTGGCATTTCTAAGCACTCGGTTACCCACTAATTCGCTCGTCATATCAGAAATATCCATACCTACGTATATGCTCATGACCTTCCCAACCTAACTCAATTGGGGGTGGGTTAATTTGAGCCTGGATTTGAGCGGCTGACTTTCAAGTCCACACAGAACAAATACATGTTGAGCCGGGGTTTCAGCATTACCGGCTACAGCTCTGTCCTCCATTAGGTCAGATGAAGAAACGAGCCAAGGCGGCAGCGATGTCGCATCACTTCGGCTGCCGCGAAAAGCGGCGTGCCGCGGCGTTCCACAATCGCACCCTCCACGACAAATCAGAGCACGAGCCAATATCCCCTCAGCAAACGCCTCATCATTCATCAAACGCCATGTGTGCACTGTGTGCGTGTTTATTGGACTATCGCTAAAATAACCGGACAGGACAGGACAGCGGAGTAGCGAGCGATCATAGACGAAGAGGCGATCATAGAAGCGTTGATGGGGCAGACAGACAGACTGGTACAGACAGGAGTGGTCTATACAGACGACAGCTCGCCTCTGACGACGCAGAGACACACGCGACCAGGGGAGCAGGAACTCGACAAGTCAGCGGAAACGGTGCATCGGTCCGCGGCACTCGGCTGACGGGAATCATCTCTCGCGGAGACCTTATTGGTAATGGTACATTCAGGCGGCGGATAGGCGGGCGGGCGGGCGCGGCTCCGGTCCCCGGGCCGTGCGGAGGGTCCGGAGGAGACAGTCCGGCGGCCGACGGCGTCCAAAGCACTGAAGCCGGGTACGGAGGGTGGTCGAGCGGCGGAGCCGGGCCGCCGCGGCACAGGACAATATCGAGAGCACCTCGGCGCGGCCAAAGGCGCCGCCGCCGCCGCGACGGAAAACTAGCTACAAATAAACGGTATGTGCTGGTGGCCGGTCGGTGGTCAGAGCGACCCTCCTCCCGCGTCCACCTTTTCTGACATGGTACACCTAACTCCGAGCCACCCATAGACGACATAAAAAGAATACCAAAGTGACAACATAATAACTACATAAAACTCAGTCTCCGTTCAGTAGTCGGCTGCGATCTCTAGCTCTCCGATCGCGCTCACCTATAAAGGGCAATGTACAAAAATAGCTTGGATAGCGGAATCAATGAGCAGGCTGGGATCCGGCCGGCCGGCCGGCGCTGCGTACAAAATCAACTGTCTGGCGGCGCGCGGTGTCTCGCCGGTGGAGGCGCCCCCCAGGCGCCGGCGGCGGCGCGGCGGATTTGATTTGAGGCGCCGGTGCGGCGGACGGCCGCCAGGTCGGTCGGGGCGCACCGGGCAGCGCGGCGGAGTGAGGCACACCTACCCCGCTCCGGCGGCTCTGAGTGTGCGCGGCGGTCCCTCGGATCCGCTCTTACGTCGTACCAAAACACACAGACAGACACACTCGGCACAAACTCACGGCCCGGCACAGGGCGCTCAGCCGCGCACACACACCAGCACACATCACACACCTACACATCAGAGTAGCGCACCGTCCTCCCCTCAGCACCAATCGCAGCACATAAAACAGAGCCTGTCTTTGGACTGAGTCAAGTCCCACACCACGCCAGCAACCGAAAAAAAACACACTCACACTCTACATACGCACCAAAAGGGGATGCAGCACGCGACTATTGACCGACACTCGCAGCTGGGCAGACACTGCGCCGCCTGACCACCCACTCTCTCACTCGCTCACCTTCTCTCACACACTCTCAGCCGCGCCGGCGCTCGTACTGACCTCTCTCACCCCTCTCACTCGGCACCACATCCCGGCAAGTACGGTCCTCCTTTGGTCTCGGCGGCGCGGACCGCTCGGTCCGGTCAGCCGCCTCTCCTGTCCTCTCTGCTCGCACACGAGCGCCCGTCACCGAGGTGCTGTCACCGCTCATCCACTGGTGACAAGCACCAGCCGCGGGTGCAGCGGCGCGGGCGCCACCAGCGATGGTAGTGAACACATCAGCGACAGCCGCGGGCCGCCTAGAACCCGGCCGCCTCCTTATACTCGGTGGAGTCCTGCGAGAAGAAGTCCTCCAGCTGCCACTGGAGGGTGTCGAAGGTGGGCCGCTTCATGGGGTCCTTGTGCCAGCACTGCAGCATTATGTCGTACAGCTGGGGCGGGCAGTTGGGCGGCGCCGGCATCCGGTAGCCGTGCTCCACCTGGTGCAGCACCTCGGCGTTCGTCATACCTGGAACACGGCGAGGGGGAGGGGGCCGTCAGACTAGGGGAGCGGGTAGGCGACGGACAGACGAGGGACAGGCAAGGAGAACGGAAAAAAAAGATCGAAGAGACGCAAAGGGAGGATGGAATTACAGACGTGGAAGGGGAGAGCACCGCACAGACGAGGTACTCGCAGGGACGGCAGACGGTGGGATATACTGGGAGTATGGAATCATAGACGAGGAGCAGGCAAGCAGTCTTCACGCCTTCGTAGAGTGTTGTTTGTTTCGATGATAACAAACTCTTCCGGTTTGATAAGACCATTGCGGGGCTATCTGCACATAACCATCAATGGTTTGCAAGGTGCTTTTGTCAGGTGATTTCGTCACTACCGCTAGTATTCAACACTGCTGACGGCACCGCATCACCTATACCTAACGTTACAGTATGTGTTCAGGCCGCGGTTAGGACACCCACAGAGCGCCCCGGCAGCGCCTGTGTGCTGTATCCCGCGGCTCCGCGCCGTCAGAAGCTCAGCCGGCCGCCGCCCCCCCCCCCCCGCGCCACCCCAAGGTTGTTGTTGTTGTTGGTCCCTCCGTCTCACAGCTGAGACGTAGCCGTCCGGCTCTGTAGGGACCTGTGGGCGGCCCCCAGGGCCGCCACGATGGCGCCGCTCCGCACCTCTTCAAGGTCGGGGTTGATGGATCCCAGCAGTCGGTGTCGGGTGGCCATCAGGGCCGGGCAGCGCAGGAGGACATGCTGGGGGGTGTCCGCCTCCTCCCGGCAGACGGGGCAGAGCGCAGCCCTGCAGTGTTGATCGTCACACTGCTCGCACCCCGCCAGCCGGGAGGGCGCCAGCCCGACTCTGTGGCGCCACTGTGTAGAGCTGGTCCAGTGGCCGGCGCGGAGCTGGTGTACGTCCACCGCCGCCGACCGGTCTCCGCCGGCCACGGCCGGCGGGAGGCGGTCCCCGGTCAGTCGGCGAAACCAGCCGGCCGGCCAGGCTCGGATGGTCCGGGCCCTCGCCACTCTGGCGGCGGCCCGGTGGGCCGTCTGGACGTCGATGGGGGCTTGGTCCTGGGCGAGATTGCTGGCCTCCCTGGCGATCGAGTCCGCTCTCTCATTCCCCTCCAGTCCGCAGTGCGAGGGAACCCATTGCAGATGGACCTGCCGGCCTCCCGCCGTCAGGCCCCGGAGGACTCTCCAGATGGCCCCTCCCAGCGGGGAGTGCTGGGCGGCCGGGCCCTCTCGGAGTGCGGCAAGGGCGGACTGTGAGTCTGTGCAGATTACTACGGGGTCGTCTGCGTGAAGCGGATTCTCCAGAAGAAACGAGAGGGCGGTCCGGAGGGCGACCATTTCAGCCCGGAAGCTTGAACACAGGCGGCCCGCCGGGGCGCGGACCGATCGTTCCTCTCCGTCCGGCCACACGATCAGGGCTCCGGCGCCACCGTTCAGGACGCCGTCGGTGGCCGAGCCGTCGGTCCACACCCAGGTGGCGCACTGCGGGAGCGCCGCCAGGTGCTGGGATGCCGCATTTCTCTTCCAGGTGTCGCTGGCCGCGGTTGGGATGGCGGCTCCTATGTCGAGGCCGAAGGAAACCGTTGGTGACGGTTCCCATGGTGGATCCGGCAGGGGGAGGATGGGCTCGATCGGAGGGCAGATGCCCGCCGCTCTCCATGTCTCCTCGCCCACTCCTCTCCACCCTGTCACGGTGCTGAGGCGGGTAGGGACCTGGCTCTCCGCCACCTTCCGCAGCGGGTCTCCAGCCGGGAGGGCGCGCGCCTTGGCCAGTAGGCGCGCCGCCAGGGCCGTGCGTCGCTCGGCCACCGGGGCGAGGCCCGCCTCCGCCATTACGGCGTGTGCTGGAGTGGACCGGGGGCAGCCGGTTACCACTCTGGCGGCCTCGCGCATCTCCCTCTCCAGCAGCATGACATGGGACGGTGACGCTGCTGGGAGCCAGGCGGCGGCGGCGTGTTCCAGTGCGCCGCGGATGTAGCCGGAGGCGACGATGCGCAGCTGGCGCTCTTCCAGCCCCCACTCACGCCCGGTCAGCAGTCTGAGTTGGTTGGTTCGAGGTCGCACGCGCTGGCGGAGGCTGCGACAGTGGGCTCCGAAGTGGAGCAGTCGGTCCAGTGTGATTCCAAGCAGCTTCAGCTGGTCGCCCGCGACGACCGTCTCCCCTGCCACTTGGACGGAGCAGTTGACGGCGTCCCGGGCCCACTGCGACAGGACCAGCGCCTGAGTCTTCTGGCCGGCAACCACCATCTTGGAAGCGCGGGCCCACTTGACGAGCGCATCCGCTGCCTGTTGTGCGCGTAGTTTGGCGACCTCGATGTTGTTGCCCGAGCACAGGGCCGCAGTGTCGTCGGCATAAAGGAACGCCGTGGTGCCAGGGGTCTTCTGGAGTTCCGCGGCGAGTGGGGCGGCCCATAACAAGAACAGGGCCGGGGACAGGACGCTGCCCTGAGGCAGGCCCGCCCTGTACACCCGCTCGCCGCTAGTTGCGCTCTGGAACTCCACTCGCGCTCGCCGGTCTCTTAGATACTGCCAGGTCCAGGCGTAGAAGCAGCGCGGGATCCCCAGTTCCATCAGGCGGACCCTGAGGAGTCGGTGGTCGACCGTGTCGTAGGCTCGGGCAAAGTCGAAGGCCAGGAGGACATACTTCTGAGCGCAGCTACCGTCAGGGGGGTTCTTGCCGCGAGACTTCGGTGCGTTCCATCCGTCTTGGACCTGTTGTACGAGGCGGCCGATGCTGTCTTCCACCGACCGCCTCTCTCGAAATCCCACCTGTTCTGGGGGGACCAGGCTGTCACGGTCGACGAGGTACCGAAGTCTGGCTAGAATCAGCCTCTCGACGAGCTTGCTGAGATGGCTCGTCAGCGCGATGGGGCGGTAGCTGGCGATTCGTTGCTTGTCCTTCCCCGCCTTCGGGATGGGGATAATCCGGGCCTGCCTCCACTCCCTCGGCACCGAGCTCTCCAGCCAGGACGCGTTGATGGCTCTGAGCAGCGCTCGGCGAGCGACCGGACCCAGGTGAGTGAGGTGCTCGTTGCAGACGCCGTCTGGACCCGGAGCTTTTCTTCGATGAAGGCGTTGAAGTTGGTGGGAGAGTTCCGATTCGGAGAATGGCGCGCAGCAGCCCGTGCGGTGGTTACCGCACTCCTTGCATTGCGGGGACTGGAGTTCGCGCAGTCTCCTCTTGGCCGCTCTGTCCACCTTGGCCGACCTCACTTGGCGCGAGACGTGGGCGTAGGTGGCGTTGAACGCTTCCGCTTTCTCGCTGTCTGTGACCAGGAGGCGGTCTCCTTCAGTCATCGCCTGTCCGGGTCGGTGTTCGTCGCTGGCGCCCTCCCACTTCTTGAGGATCTTCGTGACTCTGCCCAGGCTTGCGGGTTTATTGAGGGTGGTCTCAACGAAGTTCCGGAAGTGTGCCTGGGAGACTCGTTTCTCCGTCTCCGCCGCGCGCCGCTTCGCCGCCACCCAGCGGTCCCTGGTGGCCGGGTCACCGGGACGGAGTGCCCGGCGCGCCTCGCGACGCTCCGCCACCGCCTGCTGCAACTCGGGGTCCAGAGCCCAGGGCTTCACAACCTTCCTTGCGCCGCGGGGGATGTACTTGCGGCTCGCTGACATGATGGCCTCGGTGAACCGGGTGGTGAGCTCTTGAGCGGTGGCATGCAGAGGCTCCGCCCTGAGAAGGGTCGCCTCGCAGTCCGCCTTGAACGCCACCCAGTCGGCCTTGCCGAAGGACCATTGGGGCTTCCGCGTACTCGGCTCCGGCCGAGGAGTGGTCCTGATGGAAACCAGCATTGGAAGGTGATCGCTCCCCAGGTCCGGGCCCACTCTCCACGTGGACCTCCGGGCCAGGGCGCGGCTGCATACCGCTACGTCGGGTGCCGAGCTCCCCCCGGACCGGTAGGAGGAGTGAGTCGGCTCCCCTGAGTTGAGCGGGGACCAGCCCACGGAGTCGAGCCAGTCCGCCACCCGATTCCCGACGTCGTCTGCAGTGTCGCACCCGGAGTCCCAGAGGGGGTGGTGAGCGTTCAAGTCACCGAGGATGATGGCGTCTTCGTCGGAGGGGAGGGCTGCAGGGTCGAAGTTGTCTTCGCGATCATCCGTTGGAGACCGACGGATGGGCGGCCTGTAGATATTGAAGATGGAGATCGGTGATTTGCCGAGTATGCGCACGCCGCACACCTCAGTACTGTCGTCTGAGGGGGCGAGTGGGCGTCCGGTCAGGGGGGTGAATGGGATTCCACCACGGACGTAAATTGCTACGTCTCCGCCCTTCACGGTCGCCGCACCTAGTTGTCTGCCGCGTTCTCTTTTCGTGACTACCGGGGGTTGGTAGCCCGGGATGCGGACAACGTTCTTGGAGGAGAGCTGGACCTCTTGTATGGCCACCACGTCCGCGCTGACCGACGGGAGCCAGCTTTGGAGTTCCGGGATTTTGGTCCGGAGCCCCTCAGCGTTCCAACCAACTATGTGGAGGAGACTACGCTGCGCTCGGTTGCGACGATGGCGACGGTTTCTTGCTCTCCTTCGATGCTGTCCTCTTCGGGCCCCCCGGTCGTCACCCCCTCCGTCGGTGCTCTCGGAGGGGGGCGCGGCCGTAGGGCTACTCATTCAGCAGGTCCGGCCGCGTGCGACGCGGCTCTGGACCTGCAGTGGGCATACGCAGCCCCGGCGCGTGAAGAGTCGAGGAGAAGAAGGGGCGCGGAGCGGCGCCAGGCGACGGGGAGCCGCCAGCAGGACCCTCTCGAAGAGGGCAGTTTGGGTCCGTTTGGTTTCCTCCGCTGGTCGCCCCAGCGGGGGCGGGCACGAGGCCCACACCTCCCACCGCGTGAAGGCGGACCCATCCGGGAGGCCCACCCCAAGGTCGAGCGGCCGCTGGAGCGGCCGCCCGCGGCGCGGCGCCGGCCGGGCGGCGGGCGGCACTTCTTTGTGGACGGCCCGGACGGGTGGCTCCGCGATAGGGCTACTACAGGCCCGGCGGTGGCCCTTTGATAGGGAGACGGAAAGGCGCCGCCGACAGACACAGCAGCGTCACATACGGCTGCAGACTACCCTATGTTCGCTTGACCGTATACAACCGCTACCATTGCTAAATGTTTCAATTCAATCACTTTTCACTCCAGACGAGCGTCAGTGTCGCAAAGCTCACATTGCTGTGTTCCGGTACTAGCTAGTAGACGAATTCTACGCGTCCCTGGAGGATGGTTAGTTCCTGGATGGCTCCTGGTCAACGCCTAGGTACTAGATAAAAGTGTTTTTATTTTCTTCAAAGTAGGCGAGTATAGCCCTCTGACTCACCCGGGTAGGGGATACGGCCGTATGTGATGAGCTCCGTCAGCAGAATGCCGAACGACCAGACGTCAGACTTGATGGAGAACTTGCTGTAGTTGGCTGCCTCCGGGGCCGTCCACTTGATGGGGAACCTGGCGGCAACGCAGCGGGTCAGGTCAGGTCAGGTCACACACCGGCAGTGGGGACATTACGGCTGTACAGAGCTCAGCGGTACGTAATCACAGGCGGACACCAACCGGCCCAGACAACGAAAAAGTCGGCCTGCTGAGCTCTATTCGGAGGAACAGAGTACCATATGTGAGAGATAACGCAATACCCATTGAACAGTGAACATGCGAAACACCTGGCTGAGCGTGATTGCCACTAGTCCCATTTTCCCACCATTTTTCCTTGCTCTATCTTTGAATCATGAGGCTCCATCATTCCTCTTCCAACGTCACCATCCCCGGAACTTCTCCCACCGTCTCAAGCTGCCAGCTCCAGATCTATATGCTTGGTATTACCTATTGGCATCTAATGCTGGCACTCACTCTTCCACCTTACGTGCCCACTGCCCAGTGTCTAACCAATACCAGCTCGGGCCCATCTCCACCAACACTCCGTGCCCTCAAGTCCTCCAGCTCACCTCGCGCCGACGCGCGCCTCGTATTCGTTCTCCTTGATGAGCCGGGCCAGGCCGAAGTCGGCGATTTTGACGACGTTGGTCTCGCCGACGAGCACGTTGCGAGCGGCCAGGTCTCGGTGGATGTAGTTCTGGCTCTCCAGGTAGGCCATGCCGGCAGCGATCTGCGCCGCCATGTCGATCAGCTGGTTCAGCTTCAGCGCCTTGCCGCGGTCTGTGAAACACGCGGAGGAGGCGGGCGATCAGATGGGCTGGTAGGGCGGTAGGGGGTACGAGTGGGTGCCGTGTAGACTGATCGGAGTAGATGTCGCATCAGTCTAGTATCAACAGGGATGGGTCGGCCGGGAGAGAGCGGATTATGGCAGTTTGGAATCTACGGCTGACTTGGATCGAGAGCGGAGCGAGGGAGCCCAATCCAACTCACTTCTTATTCAAATAAACGAAAGTGGATAGCAAAAAATATAGGTGATGTTACTTCCATGATAAAAAGTTTCACTTTGTTGAGATAATTTACACTTCTGAATCACAGACATGTAGAGTATAGATTATATTGCAATACCAATATGTCTATTACTGAAACTCCGCAGGTATGGATTGGATATGAGTAATCACATGCATCATCCATACACTATTACTGCCGGGGCTGCAGTCTGGGTTCAAAGAGCGGCGCCGCCGGTGACGGCAGCGGCGGCAGCGGCGGCACCGACGTCATCGACCCGCCGCGGCTGACTCACTGACTCACTGACGGACGGACGGACGGCTGACGGCGGCGGCACGCGACAACCCTACCGAGTACCGACGGAGTACGGACGGCCGGCCGGAGCAGTCAGGGGACCGCCGGCGACGGGGGCCACCGGGCATGGGGAGCGGTGGGAGCTGAGCCGATAGACAGAGGAGCGTCGGCCGAGTCGATAGGGAGGGAGTGGGTTAAGGAGAAATCAGACAATCCATTAAACTGAAGACTACCGAGAAGGAGTTTATCCTACCCGGCAGCTAGATAGGAGGAGGAAACCGACGGACGGAGACGATAAGGGTTTCTAGGCACCCAAAGTGCTGCCATAGGCACTCAAAAGAAGGATCGCAGGAAGCGTCATGAACTATTTTCGTCACCATTCCGTTATTGCTTATCACCCTTCCTGTTTTTGTTTTTACTTCCATAGCTTTGCATGATGAAGAAACAGGAGGAAAAGCAATTAGCATGTTATAAAATTCAAAACTAACACGCCACGCCTGCTACAGCTTACACGAGACCCGTTGAATTTTATACCCGCAGCAGGTGACGGGAAGGAGGGGGCTGTTAAAGGACATTTGAAGGACCTGCCCCGGGGTACTTACATGGTCAGTTTCAGAGAATCTTGGCCCGAGAGGCTGGGAAACTTATCAACTGTAAAGTAAAAACTTTTAACTATCCACGTGTTTGGTAGCAAACACAATCCGACAGATGCTATCAATAAATTTAGTTTGTCGTTGTCGAAAATCGACACCATTATACGGATTCTTCCCAGCGCCAGGGTCCACTTTTGCGTGACGCGGTATGAGGCATAACGGACGTAAAGCGACTTGTTGGGATTTAGTTGGGTGGGATTTAGTGAGCATGGTGTTATGATGGGGCTATGTTTCAAACTCATACGAACATCCACTAGCCACTTCTGATAGAAGTGGTAAACTAACTACAGACTGTGACTATAAAGTGAAAAGAAAAAGACTGTGACTTGGTATCAACAAGCAGTGTCTCTGTTTCTATTGAAAACCGTCTCTTGTCTCCGTCTCCATTAACGGATTCCATCTGACCGTCTCCGTCTCAGCTGACCGTCTAACGTCTCCGTCTCGACAACTGCCCGTCCCCTGTCCCCGTCTCTATCCCCATTATAGCCGCCTCCGTGTCCCTCTCAACAAACGCGCGTCTCCGGCCTCCTCCCCTCCCCCGTCTCAATTCGCTGTCTAACTGGCCGTCTCACGTCTCTGTCTGATGGTCTCCGTCTCAACTGATCGCCTCACGTACCCCTCAATGAGTATTAATGAGTCATACCATCTCCGACTCAACTGGCCGTCTCTCGTCTCCGTCTCCGTCTCCCGTCTAGCCGTCTCAGCTGGCGGCGGCCGTCTCCCGTCTAGCCGTCTCAGCTGGCGGCGCCCGTCTGGCCGTCTAGCCGTCTCAGCTGGCGGCGCCCGTCTCCCGTCTAGCCGTCTCAGCTGGCGGCGCCCGTCTGACCGTCTAGCCGTCTCAGCTGGCGGCACCCGTCTCCAATGGCCGCGGCGGCTCCGACCGACCGACTGACTCCAATTACACTGGACGCCAGACGGGCCAATGAGGCCGGAGCCACCGCTCCGTGGAGGGAGGGGTACTGTACGCCGCGCTGCCGGGGCCAGGGCGAGCCTGAGGAGGGACGCATAACCCTTGCCCTCGACCTAAAGCGCCGTACCATCACCCCCAATCATTTCACTACTTGGTGAATCAAACTTAAACGTATTATTATAAGAATGTAAATGCCATAAAAAGTTGGCAGTTCATAATAAAATGTGTATCAAGAACTTCAGGCACATGATCTTCACCATTCGCCGCGAGCACGTGTCACCATGGATCGACAAAAGAAAGCGAGGTGGAGCAGTATCGCTCGTGCCCGCTCAGACTCAGCAGGCTTTTAATGTGGGCGGACTTGATAACCATCACCGTTACGCAAGATCGGGTGCATACCGGTCGATCATACCAGTGACATACTGGTCTATCACATCGCGACTCGATACGGTCACTCAAGGGCCGCACGCAAACCCTATCAGGAGGAAAGTTGTGCGCCAGATACAACACTCAACTTTGTAGAAACGGCGCACCAGGTTCATCAAAGAATGAGGCTGCGTAAAACAAAAAGGTGAAAAGGTCATGCAGTACGTTCGAATGTTTCCTGAGGTCAAGGTCACCCAGAGAGGTCACCTGGTCCGTTTACCCTGCCACCACCGGCGGTGAGCGAGGGTCTGATTGACACGCGTTTAGGCCTGACAGCCGACGTCTGATACCGGCACACGCCAGTCCACAGCGGTCGACAGAGCCGGCACAATGCCTGATTTTTCACCCGAGCTCCGTCAGACAATACCAGACATCCGACGCCCGCCGGGTAACGGGCCGACCGCGGCGGAGACTGAGCGGGCAGCGGCGGCAGATTATCCAATTCGTTAGCCCAGACCAGTGACTAACGCCTTCGTCCACAGCCTCCCGCCCACGGCGCGTGGGGCAGTCGCGATACAAAAACAAACACCGCACGGCACCTATCGCCTGCATGACGGTGTCAATGATCAAGGTACGCCGACGCGAGAGGTTGGTACACAAGCGCTGACGTTGGCCGGCGTTTGCAGACAGCCCGTTTCAATTCGCTGCTGAGTGCTGATGCCATACAGTGCCGCCTCGCCCGTCCCTCAGGCGGGGCGGGGCGGGGCGGGGTGGGGCGCCCGATGCAGCCCCAACGTCCGCCTGGTCATGATAAGGCTGCTCTGCAGCGGCAGCGCCTTCTCGACTGTGGAGGGGACGGGACGGGCCTAACGCGCGGGAGCGTCCCCGTCTCTGAGCTCAGCTCTGCTCACAGCCCACTGAGCGCTGTTTTCCTGGGCGATAACAGCTGACTGCTGGGCACTGGGCCCATGCCGATATCGCGCAAAGACAGCTGGCCGCTCCACTGGCACCGACCGCCAGCCTCTGCATATCGAGACGGAGCCGACGTCCCACTGCTACAAGTAAAGTAATCTTCCCCACTGCACTGGATGGAAGGTACTGATGACCGACAAATGGACACAGACCGCCGCCGATTGAATATAGCAGCGAAGACGTCATTATTTGGGCACGGAGCACAAACAAAATACACAGCACCTCTGGCGGCCCCCTAACCGATCTCACTAGATCGACTCATCGGGCGTGAACTAGTGCAAACCGCTCAGCTGTGCCCTGATTGACAGTTCGTAGTTGGTTAACCGATCCGAGCGACTGTTTAACTCCAATGTCGGACAGGACTGTGACTGCTCAGCTGTCGGGTTGACTGACACCAGCACTGCTAGGATGTCCCTTTGCTTCGCCGACACTGCTTAACTGTCGCTCTCGCTGCTCAAATGGGACAGTGAGCTGCTGGACGGTCAGTCCGAGACGCCAATCCCACGTCAAACAAACACAGTCCCGTCGGCCCCGGTCATCCTCTCTCGCCACTCCACTTGGCCGAGTTATAGCCTGTGGTCGGGTTACGTTCGGACAGAGGGTGGTACGAAAGCATCACATCCGGAAGTCTATTAGCAAAGTAAAACAGGTCAGTCGGATGGTCACGGCGCCACACCATTCCGTCATTAGCAGCTCGTCCCACTCGGCGATCGCGGTGTCTGTGGCACAGAGGTCTGCGTTCCAATGCAGGATGCCTGGCGAGGAAGTACCGCCACCTCAACTTCCGGCCGCGGTCGGACCCGACCCCGGAACTCCACACCGGTGACGTCATCACGGTGACGTCACGGCTCGGCGGCGCGCGTGGTTCGCCGGCCTCGGGTGGCGGCCGGCAGCGGCGGCGGCGGCGGCGGCGGCGGGGGCCGGCCGGCCGGGCGGCGGACCGCAGCCAAGGACGGCGGCCGGTGCTGGCGGGGGCGGCGGCGGGTAATGAGGGGCACCTGTCGTCGCCCGCATACCGCGGTCCGGCGGTGGGACGCGGCGCGGATACCCACGGGCCGCGCCGATCGTGTCGGTGGTGTCGTCTCATGGACACGGCATCCTCTGTTCCATCCTCAGGACTCGCGAACCTCTCGCCCCGCACCTCATCCGGGCTGGACGGTCGGTAGGCAGACAACTGAACCAGTGACAACTGAACCAGGGACAACTGAACCAGTAAAACTGAACCAGGGACAACTGAACCAGTGACAACTGAGCCAGTGACAACTGAACCAGCGACAACTGAACCAGTGACAACTGAACCAGCGACAACTGAACCAGTGACAACTGAACCAGTGACAACTGAACCAGGGACAACCGAACCAGTGACAACTGAACCAGTGGACAACTGAGCCAGTGGACAACTGAACCAGTGGACAACTGAACCAGTGGAAACTGAACCAGTGACAACTGAACCAGTGACAACTGAACCAGTATGACAACTGAACCAGTGACAACTGAACCAGTGACAACTGAACCAGTGACAACTGAACCAGTGACAACTGAACCAGTGACAACTGAGCCAGTGGACAACTGAACCAGTATGGCAACTGAAACAGTGGACGACTGAACCAGCGGACAACTGAGCCAGCGGACAAATGAACCAGTGGACAACTAATGTCGTACTGCGCTGTATAGGTATAAAGTAGCGCGTGGCTGGACGGACGGTCTGTGCCAATCTGCCGGTCTGCCAATTGATATGTGTCCGATCTATTAGAGTGTCCGTCCGAGAGCCGTACGGCGGCTGACAGGGCTGACAGAGCCTGGTGGTCGCGAACTGGTGTGGTAACCGTTACGCCCACCTGGGACGCCCGAATAGTTAGCAACGTATAAATAGGTAATATTCACTTTGAGTTTGATGGCCTAACGTACTCGGGACAGACAGGGCACGCAACGTGGGCTTGGCAGAGTTCAGCCCGCCTGGGCCCAGAGGAATCTCCGGTATATAAATGGATTCACTGCTCGGGCTTACATCGGGCTTACGCCAAACGTCGCACAACTAGGGCTAAACAACGGCTGTCCTGAGCTCGCCGCCGAGAGGCCCAGAGGGCATACCTCCGGCAGAGCATAGGCTTTAGTCGGCGTTTTTGTGTCCTTTAGCCCAAGCGCTAGCCGACTTTAGTCCAAGCGCTAGCCGACTTAAGCCCGACTAAAAATCTCGGGCAAGCCGCACTTCAGCCTGCTTGGGCCCGGAGTAAAATTGCTCGCTGGGCTACTGGTTAGTGGTTCAGTTGTCACTGGTTCAGTTGTCCACTGGTTCAGTTGTCCACTGGTTCAGTTGTCACTGGTTCAGTTGTCACTGGTTCAGTTGTCCACTGGTTCAGTTGTCACTGGTTCAGTTGTCACTGGTTCAGCTGTCACTGGTTCAGTTGTCACTGGTTCAGCTGTCACTGGTTCAGTTGTCACTGGTTCAGTTGTCTACTGGTTCAGTTGTCCACTGGTTCAGTTGTCACTGGTTCAGTTGTCTCTGGTTCAGTTGTCACTGGTTCAGTTGTCCCTGGTTCAGTTGTCACTGGTTCAGTTGTCACTGGTTCAGTTGTCACTGGTTCAGTTGTCACTGGTTCAGCTGTCACTGGTTCAGTTGTCCCTGGTTCAGTTGTCACTGGTTCAGTTGTCCTGGTTCAGTTGTCACTGGTTCAGTTGTCATGGAACCGGACGGTCACCTTCATCCGTCACGAGTAGCCCTCAGGGGCATGCTCAGTGCTCATTGCTCACGTGCGGTGGGACGACCGTTAGCGGGCCTGGATAGCCTATTCATCGTGACGGGTTCAGCCCCGTCGGCGCACCAGGGTCAGTCCAATGTCTCCCCCTTATTCCTATCATCCTTCCAGCTCTGAACTGGTCTCATTGGACCAAAATAGCGCAATCCTCCCCCCCCCCCCCCACACACACACACAAAACGAAGAAACAAACTCGTGGCCGCGGTCAGCCGCTGTTGGCACGCAGCCTTTGACAGAGCTCTGTCAGCCGGCCCCCGGGCGGCGTATGTCCCTGGATTTATCGGTACAAACGTTAGCGTGTTCCGCTTGACCGCATCAGCTATCAAAACCAGCGTGGGTGGGGCAGTGCGATAGCGACAGAAGAACATAGTTTGAACAACACATCTACCTGTGACGAAGCCGTGTAAATATTTAAACTGCAGCCCTTCAAATGGCTCACTAAAGCTGACGTCCATAAGCTACGGTTGCGAGTCCATACAATCGCCTCCGATGGATACGACAGACCCGAGCTGTTCAGATGACTCATTCTTTCTGAGGTCAAGAGCACCCGTATACACCCTCGCAGTGTGAGTGAATGATAACGGATTTAGCGACAAGGGATATTTACGGGGAATGCAGCTACTGATAGTCCTGGCAGCCGCTTAAACTTCAGACTGATAGGAAACTGAATGCCTAGGACACTCACTTACTGAGCGGCAATACACTGCCCACGTATCGCTGAAGGGATTCTAACACCTTGCACTCAAATCTAATCAGAAAAATTACAGATAAATACAAATATACGTAGACTGACTTAGGACAAGACAAAGCCACATCTAGAGATTGATTTATGAAGCAGCTGCAAGGCCGGAGACGGGAGTCTAGAAGTGCAGAAAAATGTCAAGACCAATTACAAATACTTGTTCAAAAGTGGCAGAGGGCGAAGAGTAAATGTGGATAAGGATGTCTGAACATAAGCATATGCGATAAATATGAATAGCCTCGCAAGTTTTCCCATTGTGCAGAGCGGCACATGCAACATTTAAAGTTAATCAGATGCGGCATTATCGTCTTTCAGTCGAATAAAGTCAAGTCAACAAAAGCTTCAGAACGACAGCCGCAACGGTTAAGGGACGACGTATGGGGTGAGAGGCAGTGCCGAAGACTGAGGAATGCAGAGCTGAGCTGCGGACTACCGCTGAGTGTTGGGCTATACGAGTATATTCGTCATTCGGAGCCCCCGGACCCGACCCGAGCGTCCCGGTCTACTCACTGCCCTGCAGGTACTGTGAGTATCGTCAGGAAGCAGGCAGAGGCGGCGGCCCCGACCCCGTCTACTTACTGCCCTGGACTCCGACCCAGTCTACTTACTGCCCTGCAGGTACTGTATCGTCAGGACGCAGGCGGAGGCGGCAGTCCCGACCCAGTCTACTTAGGTACTGCCCTGGACTCCGACCCAGTCTACTTACTGCCCTGCAGGTACTGTATCGTCAGGACGCAGGCGGAGGCGGCGGCCCCGACCCCGTCTACTTACTGCCCTGGACTCCGACCCCGTCTACTTACTGCCATGGACTCCGACCCCGTCTACTTACTGCCCTGGACTCCGACCCCGTCTACTCACTGCCCTGCAGGTACTGTGAGTATCGTCAGGACGCAGGCGGAGGCGGCAGCCCCGACCCAGTCTACTTACTGCCCTGGACTCCGACCCCGTCTACTTACTGCCCTGCAGGTACTCGAGCAGACTGCCGTTCTTCATCAGCTCAGTGATGATGTAGATGGGCTCCTCCAGGGTGCACACGGCGTACAGCTGGATCAGCTTGGCGTCCCGCAGCTTCTTCATGATGGCCGCCTCGGCCAGGAAGTCCTTCGGGTCCATGGTGCCTGCGCAGCGGCGGTGGAGAGACGAGGTCACACAGAGAGCAGTGGTTCCGGCCCGGTGCGTCCTCTCCCGGGGCAATAAAGCGCTGATTGACTCACACATGCTCGTCATTGAAGTAGTATTGCAACATAAGCAGACTCTTAAAGATGCAAATGAAACAGAAAAGCCAGAATGGTGCATTGAACTACGTTAATAATAAACATAAGAATTAAAAAATAATAAGGAGTCACGTCCTTAGAAAACCCAGATCGTATATCCACCACCCACTGAAGCAGATCCTAAAGCTGCCTGATCACTCACCGGGTTTCAGCGTTTTGATGGCGACTGGCGTGGTGTTGTTCCAGAGTCCCTCCCAGACCTCTCCGAACTGGCCGTGGCCCAGTTTGCGGACAAACTTGAGCGAGGTTCGGTCAATCTCCCAATGGTCGCGCGTGTCGTGCGACAGACCGGCCGTCACCGGCTTCTCGATCTGCAGACGCAGGGAGAACGCGTTCACCGTCAGACTGGCACAGGCAGAGTCACAACGAGACATCGCTCTCTCATACAACACAAACAGACTGGTGGAGGCACGAATGGACGAGCACACAGACGACAGACAGCAAGGCGTGCCGGCACATAGACGACAGACATGGTAACACTGGATTGTAATAGTCAAACGAGAGAGAGTCTAACAGGCTCAGATTATAGTACGCAATGTGCAGAAGTCATATGACGGCCAGATCATCGAGCATACGCAAGTGAGCCAAATACTGATAGACTAGACTCTAATTCATGTAACACCCACAATTAGTAATCTGCTTAACAAACTTATCGACAAGTCTCACTAGGAAAACATCGTCAGTTCATCGCGCTCATCGCTCAGCCTCTACGCTCGCTGCCTCACCACGCCACCGTTATAGCCCCGGCCCACCTTAACACAGGGCTTCCTGAGGTTGACGCAGAGACCGTCGGCGTCTCGGCTGTAGTGCTCCACCAGGTCGGGCAGCGTGCGGAAGGTGGTGCGGCGCGCGATGAAGAAGCCGCCCTCGTCCAGCTGACGGATCCGGTAGTGTTTGACCGTGTCGCCGTCGCGCACAGAGAGCGAGTAGTCGTTGCGGCGCGACTCCGAGTCGCGGATCAGGAAGGCGCCGTGTTCGTTCTCGTCCAGCAGCAGCTTCTTCTCCGCCTCGATCCTCTTGATCTTGCCGTTGTACCATCTGACATGGAGGTGACGTGGGTTCAGTCAGAGTCAGCACACGTGGCGGCTGGGGATTTCTCTGGGCGTGAGGAGATAAATGGCGTCCTGTTCCATTCAGGATTCACCATAGCATTATGTTTACTTGCAGGTAATATTTTTGATAACTGACACCCCACAATTTTCACAAGTACCTACCATAGTACAGAACAAATGTGTTTTGTGTATGTGATGTAGGGCGAGCAGCAGCTGTTATGATTTCCATTTCATCCATTATTGTTGAACATTTTTAAGCAAGCAAAATGATTTATGATAGTCCTAACTAGATATCCTAAATGAAATAATTTTACAGAGAATGGAATGAATTAAAATAATCTTCAATCCAAATGGAAAACAACAAAAAGAATTTGTCATTTGTTAAATGTAGACTCATATTAGGTTTATGCTTAAAAAAATTAGGTTGATGTTCTCATTTGTATCTAAATCCATTATGAGACACAAGGTTTATCATCAAAATGACAAAAGTCAGTCACCTATTAATCACTTTTGTAGTAAAGGTCACTTTGAAATATAGAACCAGCACTTGCATTGAGTTCTATAAGAGGTAGACCTCAACAACTACCTACCTACTCATATGGAAAATCATTACACCACAGATCAGAATTTGAGCTGTGTGCTAATGCCTTATTGGTAAAGACTCATTGAATTGAACTGCTGCCTACAACTCCAATTGACCATTTCTAAAGATGGGGACAATTTCATTTGTGCTACAGCAAACAAAAACATTTAACACAAAGGACCTTATAAATTCTGCTTATTATATGACCCTGAGAGACATGTTATAGAACAAATGCTACAGCATCTATGCAACCATGTCAGAATAAGCAGGCTTAACTGACCCAGAGTACTGGTACAAATGGATAATGATTCATGCTAACCAAACACATTGACAAGCAATCATCAACTACAACTGCATAAAAATGAAGTCACTTTAATCAGAGATATTTCTGATGATACTATGCTTCAAAGATAGCTTCTTATGAAAATAAGTGCAGGCCTTTATTAACAGTTAATGCAAATCAAAAAAAAAGAAAAGTAAAGGTTTGATGTTACAGTAGAATAGCAATGTCTAGGCACATGAATGAGAATAGTTCCATGAGGTAAGTTACCCCTTAATAATGCATCTATGATATATGCAAATGCACAAATCTTGATATGACTTTCAAACAAGTAGTGGCTAAGGGTGTCTATCCATCAAATGATTACTTACGGCTCTGCTTCGATTGATTTCAATTTTGCTACATAGTTTGATGGTATGTAACCTTCACGGTGATTGGTTCTGCTCCTTGCATACCACCAGTCTCCCTGAGTATCATTTATTATTTCTAGATGGTCACCCTTCCTGAAGCTCAAATCTTCATCTGTTCTTGCATCATAATCATACAGTGCAACAAACAGCTTGAGATTGCCAATCGCTGTAGGATTGTTCTCTGGCACAGATGGCAATGGTGGACCATTCACACGTGACTCTGTGATGTATCTTCCTCCAGCATCACTGGGCTCCTGAACAAGCTGACTGCTCGTATTTGGATGCGTACTGGCCACGTTTGTTAGTGACGCTGTGTGAATTCCATGCCTGTCAGCTGGAGCTGGCCCAGGGAACCCATCTCTCCTCCCAGCCTTTTCCTTGCTAAAACAGCTTCCCATCTCGCCACATCAGAATCCACAAACCATTAGCAGGTTTAATATAAAACTGTAGGAACCAATGAACTGAAACACTTGGAAGACCACAAATGTAAGACACAAATCAAGCAAAATACTGAACGATTATGCTTGATTGTCACACATCTAAGAAAAGCACTTCTTCTTTCACAAAAAAATGTACTTCGGGTTTCTCGCATCAAACACCACGGCACACCAAAAACCCCAAAATTCCAAATTTTCACGCGCCCTTTGTGCACGACAAGCAAGCCTTTCCCCAAAAAGTTGTGTACACTTTCTGTTGCGCCTTAATTGTCTAATATAAAATAAAATATATGACGTCATTAACATAAAGAGGCTAGAAGTTGGCTACAAAAATGCATTAAACATTACTAAAATACAAAATATTACAATTTTATTCATCGCAAAAACAACGTAAAATAATTGCAACAAATAAATTACCATTTTAAGGAAGATATCATCAAATATATATTTTCTTCTCAGCAGATCTCACAGTAGGCCAAGGTTGAAATAAAAACTGTATATGAGGAATAAGAATCTTAAGAATTTATGACGCTCAGGCAAAACATCATTAAAATTTGCAAATATCATCAAGGTAAAACCTACTTAAATAACAAAAATGAAGCTTGTTAAACAGTGAATAGCAGTCACCCATGTACTAAACCTTCAAATATTTTACTTTAGAGCATCAAATTTTCATAAAGTTCATCAAGTATAGAATTCACCAAGACTTTGATGACTGACTTTTTCATAAGTATTAGTTATACTTTTCCGTTGAAAGTGAAATGACCTCGTTGTAATGCATCAAGAAAAGCCTTACCGAGACCTCAAAACAGTCCATCAGTCCGGAGCATAAAGGTCTTGAACGATTGTTTTGCACTATGGATTTTTGCACAAATATTTACCAGTACAACTTCTCATTGGCTTGCATTAAAAAATGCTCCTTTCCTTTCTTTTATATTGAGAAGCATATTTATAATCCAAGTTGTAAATATTTTTTATTCCGTTTAGAATTTATCATCAATTTTATATTTGCTCCTACAAAGTTGCAGCAGATTAGTGACTGATTTTATTTCACTCGCGCCAATTTCATTCGCGCCGTAGCTTGCGCGCATTTTCGGAACGTGTGGCGGACGCGGTGCTGCGAGGTATTATTTTGAAGTATTTCATATTTGGCTAGATAGTACCAGGTTGGAAGAAAGGAATAGTCCGTTTTTTACAAAATATATGATTAGCCAGTTAAAACAACCTATTAAGTCACCTGCAGGTATTTTTGGGCCTTTAAATCGAGCCATCCTACATGACATTCATAGATTCCATGACGGTTTTTCGTCCAGCAGATTTTCGTCTGACAATTTTTCGTCCGCAGATTTTCGTCCGACTTTTTTTCGTCTCGCATTTTTTCGTCTGTACATTTTTTCGTCTGTGCATTTTTTCGTCTGTACATTTTTTCGTCTGTACATTTTTTCGTCTGTACATTTTTTCGTCTGTACATTTTTTCGTCTGTGCGTTTTTTCGTCCGGACATTTTTTCGTCTACAATTTTAACGTAACCTAACCTAACCTAACCTAACCTAACCTAACCTAACCTAACCTAACCTTACCTACTGATGTTTGCCTACCGGGGGATAAGGAAAAAGTTACTTGCATGAATAGATTGCAAGCAATGGTAAGTCAAATATTTTTAGGTTAAGTGGTTATGCATCAGGCTTCAGGCCTTTGGCCTGAAGCCAGATACACAACAACTTAACCTAAAAATATTTGACTTACCATTGCCTGTAATCTCTCCTAAGGCATTGCCTTCGGCACTGCACTGCTTCGCCCCGAGTATTATTATGACGTCATTTGCCTCCACAGTTGAATAGCATTGTAGTATGTTTTCACTCAACCTTGGGTGAACAGGCGTAAAATTTATGGAACGAAAAAATGTCCGGACGAAAATATGTACAGACGAAAAAATATACGAACGAAAAAATGTCCGGACGAAAAAATGTACAGACGAAAAAAGGTACAGACGAAAAAATGCACAGACGAAAAAATGTACAGACGAAAAAATGCGAGACGAAAAAAAGTCGGACGAAAATCTGCGGACGAAAAACTGTCCGACGAAAAAATGTCAGACGAAATTTTGTCCGGACACGCATTCATATTATAGTTCACGGAATTCAGAATTGTGAGGCAGTGTAGGCTTATTTGTCTTGGACTGGATCAGGATCATAATCTTTAAATCGCTGTTTCTATATATCGAAGACTTACGAATATTGGATATTCTTGAAAAAAGTAGTCAAGTCTGGATTATTTATTGGCACTGACATTTGGTGCGGAAACAATAACAGTCTATCTGTATTGTATTTCAACATTAACCCTGCGGCCGCTGGGGGGGGGGGGCATATAGTTACCCCCCTTTACTTCTGTGACAATACCGTTGCAACGCAAAGAGATAGATAAGCAAAACTTTGGACACGTCTTCCTGAATACCTAGCCGAGATTGTGTGATGTGTCCAAATTTGGTGTTGATATCATTTGAGATGACGTCACAGTGACGTCAGAAGTCAAGTTATAGATTTGCGACTCAGTCTCCTCATGATATATCCGATTATATGAAACCAAATATACAGGACGACTATTGGTCAGGAACCAGACTGGAAAAAATACACGTTATGCCGAATCTGTCTGGCGGGATTGCACCGAAAATTTCAGCGCACGTCCGGCGTAACTTCGCATGGGCCGAATTCAGCGCATGGCGGCGGACGAATTTTTCTGCGCAGGGCGGTCGCATATTTTTTTGGTGAAAGACGGTCACCGAATTTATGCGGTACGCTGGTCAATATAGCAGCAGATTCGCCCCGCGGGTGGCTCTGGAGAGGTTGCGGGACGAGACGTCCCCGCCCCGGTCGTCGCGTGCTCGAACTGGCGATCCGCCCTGAGTCTACTCAGCGGAGGAACGGCCGCCCAGGTGAGGCCTCAACCTTCTATGGAAAACCTTGTTGAACGTCGCCAAACGTCGTTAAGCAATAGCAGTGGGTTCCTGCCCACTGCTGTATCGAGGGGAATGAGAGCGCGGACGATCTGGCAAAACTGGCGGCCGCCCTGCCCTCAAACGCCCGATCGCTGACCAGGGCGGTTCATTGTGCGGCCTCGCATCAGTGGCGCGACAACTGCTCAGAATCACTATTCCAATTCAAGCCACTCCTCGGGAGCACGCCGCCGCTCCCTATTCCCGCAGAGGACCGAGAGGATGCCATTTAGGTGCACCAGATGAGGGCGGGCCACTGGGGCCGCTCGCTCCAGTACGGCACCGAATCGGCTGTCTCCACTCCGCCGTGTGCCAGCAGTGCCCAGACAAGCGGTGCCCAGCGGCGCTCTGCACCGTGAGCCGAGAAGAGGCTGATGTGCCGGAGCACGTGCTGCTCCGCTGCCCGGCCCTCGCTGGCTCCCGCCGAGGTATTGGGTTTACGTGGAAATAAAAACTCATTCGGACGCTCAAACATGGGAGATCGTACAAAGCCCCGAAACACTCTGCCTGGCTGATATAGCCTTGATCAGTAGATGTGCATATGTGCTTTATATGAAAATGGCTTAATTTTCGCACAAATAGATACCTAATTTTTGGCGCAAATCACTCAGAAATTTCGGCGCAAAATCGCTTGTGCCGAATTTCGGCGCAAGAGGGTCTCATGGGCGTCCGGCGTAGTGTATGGGTGTTTTCCAGTCTGGGTCAGGAACTAGTTGGAAGTGTACTTAGATGTTTTAGGATAACAGCAGGTGCTATCTAGCTCATTGACAGTTGAGTTTCATGATCAGCGACATGAGAAGCGGTCCATATCGGAAAACGAAAAAAAAACTATGACGTCACTGTGACGTCATATTGAGTGCCACAACCACCAAACTTTCCTCAAATATTGCCTAGGTATTCATTTGAAGCTATGCCATGAACAGTACAAACAGGTCTTTCATTGCCGTTCAGTTTTTAATGCCACAAACAGTATTCTGGGCCCTATTTCACCGGTGATAGCAGCACGCTGCTATTACACGTCAAATTGGGTTTCCATGGAAACATCAACAAACCATGATGCCGTCAATCTGTGTGATGTCATCAAATATTGCTGCTAACATCCTCACGGCCGTGCGATCAGACAAATGTTATCAAACGCATTCAACGAGACAGCAACTCTGTTCCAAACGCAGCTCACGGATTACACGAAACGTCATTAGTGTGACCTCATCGCATTACGTCAGCTCGCGCAATTTGATAGTAGTGTGCTGCTATCACCGGTGAAACAGGGCCCTGAAGCCAGATAGAAACCAACTTTCGTCGCACGGGTGTCGGCGAATATAACCTTGAAAGTAGTTAGGGACTTGACGCTCTATTATTTTGCCGGTAATGGTTTCTCGAATTTCACGCATAGCGCATGGTACAGATGCTGCCACCGCTAGACACTTTCCATGAGCATCTGTAAAATTTGATGCTCTACAGTGAAAAATATTATTTCGTCGATAATTTTTTCTTTGTTTATGCTCTTCCTTATGCGTTCCGTTCTGTCTGAAACCGTTCAACTTGTTTTTTTATAAAGCATCGTTATCCCCAACATGGCAGTCTATGGGACACGCTGACTTCACATAATCAAGTTCTTGAAAGTTCGGATCAACGTACTGAGCGGCTCAGGTAACTGGTTGACTATTTTCTGAGTTGTCCTCGACTGATATGGACGGGGGACCTCTGTGACAAATAGTTTACTTTTACTCGGACAGAAAGAATGTAGAAAAATCTAACTAGCTCTTATTATATATGGGACTTTTTTTTGTATAGTGGTTAGTACATCTGCTCTCCCCTCCCCCTCCCCCACCCACCCCCAGCTTCCAAAACCACCTATCTGGACCTCCGGATGATACATGTCGGCACATTTACAGGTTTGACAGAATGTCTCGCGCCCGTCTCAGCTCCCGCAATATTCGCAACAATGGCGCCATCAATAAAGGTGTGGGCCACAAGATCAAGAAGCCCAACGCCAAGAAATCCAGCAAGAAGTTTACCAACATCCGGCCGTTTGGGGAGTTTCCACCATCGCCAAAGGTTAGTCCGTGAGAGGATCAACATAGTGGTCGCGAACTCGTACACTAATTTCAAAATGAAATGGCTCTCCGATGAGAACTTTGGTCCTTTATTTCTGGTGGCATCGGTCTCGCCGCGTACATCGAAATGTGATTTTTCTTCCATAAAGCTTATTGTTTGAGCGGACATGTATGGCCGACCGGCAGGACCAGAAATGTTACGGGGTGTACAGCGTTCGTCAGTGTTCGCACTCTTCGACAGTCGCTGCAGGACGAAGAGTTTACAAGTACTTCACAGTTTTGAAGTTAAATTCTTGCTAAGATTGCCCTTATTCTTGAATAAATGAGGACGGTAGCCGGTAGGTTAGGTACATAGGTGGATAATTGTGCTGGACTGGGGGTGTTCGAGCTCTCCCAATTCCACACCGGCTTGGCTTTGGAGGCGCTACAGACGGCGGAGGTCAAGGTCACCGCTAGGGCGGCGGCGAATTTGCTGTGCCCGAGCACCCCCAGCTCGGCACAATTCTCCACCTATGGATAGGTACCTTACAAACTTACCAAACATAAATCGGACACGGGCGGAGACGTAACGTGCCCTTACGCCGGTGCCGGTGCCGCGTGGCGCCAGCGGAATGGAGGGGAGGACTCTGCGTAAGCCGCGCCGGCGCTCTGTCGCGTAGCACACCGCGCCGGTGCTGTGTCTCATACCTAGTCGAAATCGAACGACTGTCAAGCCGCTGTTCCGTCTCAGTCCTCTTAGTTCACAAAACGTGGACAAAGAATAGGGGACAGAGGACAAATCTACCTGCTACCTACTAGGGTGGGGCGCCCACACTGGGCGCTGCTCGGCTTTGCTAACAAGCACACATCAAGGGTGTTTTAGGTCAGGCATGGAGTAGTTTCATGTTATTATTAACAGCCGCGAGGGGGGTGCGGAAAGGGTGGTGCGCTATTCACCATGCTCGGCAGTGCTTCGGTCTGGTGATGTGTAAGGTGGTCTCACTGGCGGATCCAGGGGTTCAGCGCGGGGGGGGCATACCAGGTCACGGAGCCAAACCTAGGGTACCCCCAAATCCTGTTTTCTCATCGGATTTAGGCCACTTATTTTTCGTCATAGCCCTGACACGAGTTTTTTTTTTCTAAAAAAAAAACAGAAATGGTAGGACACCTGACCCCCATTGGCAGATCCAGGAGGAGGAGGCATTTGGGACAAATACCCGGGCAGCGCCAGAAATCGACGAAAATTGGTGGGGCCGTTGGGGCCCTCAGCCCCTCAGAATGACTGGTGTATAGAGGCAGAGCCGACCCAGGGCCGCCGGTGTGGAACCTTAAGAGGTGCTAGCGTGGGACCATCAAAGGTATCGGTGTGGGTTCCCCAGAGGCAGTGGTGTGGGGCCCTCAGAGGCACTGGTGCAGGAACCACAAAGGAGCCCGTGTGGGCCCTCTAAGGTGCTGGTGTGAGGCCCTCACATGGACGTCGTTGTGGTGCCTCAGACACTGGTGTGGCGCTAAGCCCACACCATTCACAGATGGCTGTGTGTGGGGCCCTTGGAGTTGTTGGTGCGAAATGCGAATGCTTAATAACCCAGTAGGACCTCTCAGAGACCGACAAAGGGCCCTCAGAGGCCGGTAACAGGCCGTATGATGTCAACAATGGGCCTTCACAGGCCGGCAAGTGTCTTCAGGAGCCCTGTGGAATCCTTAGAGATCGGCATGGTACTCTCAGACGCCGGTGGGGCCCTCATAGTCACCGGTGTAGGACCTACAGAGTTACCGGTGGCTGGCTGCCAGAGGCACTGGTGTGGGGCCCCAGAGGCGCCGGTGTGGGACCCTGAGAGTCGCCGATGTGGGCCTCAGGAGACACTGGTGTCTCAGAGGTGGCGGTGTAAGGCCCTCAGACGCGTCTGTGTGGTGCCCTCACAGTCGCCGGTGAAGACTTTCAAAGGCATCGTTGTGGGAGTCCTCACTCCTCAGAGACACATGCATGGGGGCAAGGGGTCTTCAAGAGACCAGCAAGGGCCAGCAGAGGGTTTCAGGAGCCTTGCGGGATTCTGGAGACCGGCGTGGTACTCTCAGGCGTCACTGGGAGCCCTCAGACTCACCAGTGTGGGGCCCACAGAGTGCAGGTAGGTAGCCGTCAGATGCGCCTGTGAAAGACCTTCAGAGGCGCCAGTGTGGGGCCCTCAGAGCCGCCGCCGATGTAGGGCCTTAAGAAATATTGGTGTTAGTCCCTCAGATTGGCGGTGTTGGGCCCTCAAAGGCGCCGGTGTAAGACCCTCACAGGCGCCGTTATGAGCCCTCAGAGACACTGGTGTGGAACTGTGGAGCCGTTCCATGCGGGTATGGGCCAGGACCCTAATTAGAGCTGACGCTTAATAGGTCAGCAAGGTCACTCAGAGGCCAGCACAGGGCCCTCAGAAGCCGGAGTGGGGCCCTTATGGAGATGTGTGATGTGTGATGTGACTCAGGAGCCCGTGACTCTGTGAGGTGCCCTCACGAGGCCTGCGGGTCTTATCTCAGTCGAAATAAGGCACGCTTGGACCCTGAGCGGCCAATTGGCACTACAGGGTCTCTCGGGCCCATAGGGCACCATGCATCTAATGAGGCGGCACGCGCCCCTTGTGCCCCCCCCCCCCCTGGTTACGCTGCACTGGCTGCGGCCATACAGGTAAATCATATTCTAACCATCCCTATTCCCAAGCATAGGCGGCGGCCGATTCCTGCATGATTTGCGCAATATGAGTGCCATCGTTAGACAATACGGTCAAAAGGGTTGAAGCGGCATGACTCCCTGTGGTTAGAACTAAGAAGCAGCATATTTTTAGACAAAATAAAGCAATGACAACTAAATTGAGGTTACTAAAACCAGTGGCGCGGGAACCGGGAGGGGGGGACTAGCGGGGGCTGGGCCCCCCAGCCGAAAAGCTGGGGGGGGGGCTCGTAATGTATTTGAGCCTCCCCCCCCCCCAGCTGGAGGAATCGAAATCGGAAATCTACCAACATACCTAATTTCATAGATTCATACATAGGCGCGGGAACCGGGGGAGGGGGCAATGGGGGAAGCTTGCCCCCACAATTCTGCGGCCGTGGGGGCGGTCCACACAACTTTTCATGAGGCCAGGAACCGTTGGGCAGCTTGTCCTTCCCAAATTAGGGGTTGTGGGTCACATAGGAAGAAAGCATGTACGTAAGTGAAAAATCCACCTCTTTCACTGGCTCGGCAACTCATTTGACTTGACAGATTAAAACCTTTACTCCAGGTTGCCAGAACGGTAGTTTCTTCACTCAGCTGAGACGGAATGACTCACTTTTTGCATTTTTTCGTTTTTTTTTTTTGTTGTTGTTGTTGAAAAGACCAAAGTCTGAAAAATAAGTGGCCTAAAACCGGTGAGAAAACTAGATTTGGGGGTACCCTAGGTTGATCTCTATTATGGTTCAGCCCCCCCAGTCTGGAAGAAGTTCTCGCGCCGCTGACTAAAACGACTCTGATCACAAAAGTAGTTACTAGGAAGGCTTTCTAAACCATTTTTATTTAGTTCCTCGTTATAGGCGTAAGAAGTGTAAGTCTGAACGGGGGGGGGCATACTTGTACTGAATGCCCTCCCCAGGCTCCTGTCGGGGGGGGCATATGCCCCTAATGCCCCCCCCTGGATCCGCCAGTGGGTGGTCTTGAGTCTTCTGTCTTGCTATTGGGGCATTCCACGTCAAATCAAACACCGAAATCCGTCATCCCCTTCGATTTTTCTGAAAATTTGTAGGCAGACTGGGCATGGTTCAAAACTGAGTTACGTGTAATATTTTCGAAATTTGATAACGTATCGCCGAGATATAGGTCATCGAATATAGCCAAAAATGCCACACATCATTTTTTTAAATGCTTATAACTCTGGTTCCTTTTCTGGTATCAAAATGATATTAACAGGGTCTTGTAGGCAATTGATAAGGCTTTGATTTTTAATTATAAAATTGAATTGAAGTGACCTTGAAATGCATTTTACCTTGAATTAAAACATAAAAATTTAAATAGCAAAAAACACGCCACCTTCGATTTGAGTAATTTTTACATATTATGTCCGTCACAATGTTCCTAACCATCTGTGAAAAAATTGGAGTGGGCCATTCATAACTTTCGCGGGAAACACCGTTTTCATGCATCAACATCACGCAACCGCGCGTGACCTTGAAAGACAGAGTCAAGACATGCTTGCTTGTGTACACTTTCTGAAATGAATGATTGCTGATTAGTGATATCCCAAACTCTGCGAGAATGGAAATGCATAGTCATCGTAGTCAAGCATTCACGTTCCATTGTAAAAGTGTCTCAGGCAAACGGTATTTTGCGGTGAATTTTGAGCCGTGTGGAAATGCATCATGAAATAAATTCAACGAAAACATTATCACGCAACGATATCTTCACGTCTTTTAATCTTCACTATACGAAAGAACATACATTTTTGAGTATGTATGGGGAATTTCTAGTTAATCTGATAATAAATATGGCAGTTAGAGTCCTGCTACGAGTAACATGTCGCCAGCTGAGGCGGGATCGGCCGACGCGGGAAACGCAGCAGTCAAAATTTTGTGTTTACACGTTCATATTGCAATTGTTTACCAACCTATTTTCAGAATTCTTTCACCATAAGATTACCTGTACATTTCTTAGTCTTCTCACAAAATTTGACGCGAATCGAACGTAATCAGCGGTAAGGAGCGCGATGTAAAGACGGAACCGTTCCGTTCCGTCCCGGCACAGTCTACAATTCAGGCGGCGCGTAGCGGTCGGCGCCGGCTGCCGAGTCGCCGCGTCGCCGCGGCGACAGGATGTTCACTTTACACCGCTATTACTAGAACAGTTGTGAACCGATTTTCTTATTGCTTGCACGATGAGATGTGCAATTCAATTCTGGACAGGTAGCCGTAAGTAATTTCGCATCAATATTATGAGATATTGGCGAAAAACAGGAGGGGTGGGGCGAAATTCACTCTTCCCCCTCCACTGCGCGTGCTAACATACGTTTGCATATGTGCCATTTTCTTCAAAACTTATGAATGGCCCACTCTAATTTTTTCACAGGTTGTTAAGAATATGGTAGGCAATAAAATATATGAAAATGAGCCAAATCGAAGGTGGCGTGTTTTTTGCTATTTCAATTTTTGTGCTTAAGAACAGAGTTAAGCAAATTTCAAGGTCATATATTTAAGTCGATGCAATTCTAAACAAATGCTTAAGAAATTACCTAAACAGTAAGGTTTATTTCATTCAAATCAAACAAGTACAACCAAAGTTATGGTCGTTCAAAAATATAAAGATGCAACATTTTGTAAAAATTTGATGCCCTATATTTAGAAGACCTGTGGTCAGAATGTGCAAAAAACATCAATGTAATGTCCGGGGCGACACAGGAACTCGCTCACAAATTTATAATGAAATCGCTTATGGTAAGGTGCAAAACAGCCGATTTTTGTTCGATTTGACGTGGAATGCCCCTATTGTTCACAATTGCATAATGTAATGAGTCATCAGGTAATCCGAGTCATGTCGAGGTGCTAGGTATTCACATTTTTACGCAATTTAAATGCCAGCGACACCAAAAATTGTCAGCAAATATTGATTACGAAAGCGACAGGACCGCTTTACCGAGAAAGCTAGTTCTGAACATGAAGCATATCAAATACACGTTGTCACTTTTCGTGACGTCCATTTATGACGACAGCAAAAATATGTTTCAAACAAGTGTTGTGAAGCATGCGACTGTCATGAATCATGAACAAAAAATGGCCGTGCTGGGCACCGGTTGTCCATAGCAAGCCAGGAGTTTTCTATAATCTATCCGTGCTCGTTACGTTTATAAGTCATGATGATCTGAGTTTTCGTCAATCCAAATGTGCAAGCCTTCAATTACGTCCAGTTACACACTTGTTCTGCTCCGTCGTGTCTTTCATAAAGGCGGGGCTGAAAAAAGATCAATGTATTTCGCTGGTAGTACTGGCCTATTTACCTCACAGTTTACAGGCAGTTACCGCTCTGAAGAGCATTAGCAAGACTGAAAACAAACGTTAAGCAACATACGCAACATCGCACTACCATCTCCTTAAGCCGAAAGCCTCGACATTGGGTATCCCCTCCGCGCACGATATTTAATAATTCACAGCGATCTGCGTCCTTCAATCACTCGCGCCAGCTGCGCCTACTTATCCTGCCAGAGCTCGCTCTTAAAAGAGCGGAACTCGTCCAGTTTGGAGCCGCGGCCCGCGGACCGGTCGCCGCCCGTCTCGCGCATGGACTCGGCCTTCCGCTGGCTGAACTGGGAGCGGGCGGTCTGCGCGCTGCTGGCCGTACTCTGTCGCGCCGAGCGCAGCTCGGACAGCACCGAGTCGGCGCCGCCGCCGGCACCGGGCCGCGCTCGGCCGCCGCGCGACTCGTCCTTGAGGCCGCGCCACACATCGCCGCTCATCAGGTGCTCGTACTCCTCGGTTTTGCGCTCGTGAAGCCGCTGGGCGCGCAGGTCGTCGTCTCGCGTGTGACGCATCGGCCGGTAGTCGGCCATCAGGTCGCGCACCTTCTTGTCTCCGCTGGCCTCGGCGATGCGCTCGGTGCGCACCTTGGACCAGCGCTGCTCCTCGCGCTCCCAGTCGGGTACGAAGCCGAAGAGCAGCTCCTCGGCGCGCCGCAGCGCCGCTGCCGACGCCTCCGACCGGGCCTCGGCCGCCCCCTCGCCCGTCTCTTCCCGCTCGGCGGTCGGCTCGGATGGCGATGATCGCTGCTCGCCCTGCTGCGTCCCGGCAGCCGACTCGCTGACACGTTCGGCGGACTCTGATGTCGATTCGTGGGACTGTCGGCCTGTCTGTCGCTGCCCCTTCTCGTCTGCTGTCGCAAACTCCTGGCGAGATGACTGCTCCTCATGACGCGAGGAGGAACGCTCCTCGTGCCGGGAGGAGGATTGCTCCTCGCGTTGCGATGACCGTTCTTCTGCGACGGACGAGCGCTCGGTCGTGGCGGACTCCTGTCTGGAGCAGGATTCGGTCACCTGCTCCTGCTGCGTGGAGCTCGCCGCATTCTGCTCGGCCAGCGCCTTGTCGAGCGCGCGCCGCCGCCGCTCGGCCTGCTCCTGCGCGCGCGCCATCTCCTGGTCCGCCTGCAGCTCCTGGGCGGCGCGCTCCTGCCGGCGCTGCTCGCGCTCCTGACGGAACCGCTCGGCCTGCTGCTCGACCAGTTCCAGTTCCTCTAGCTGCCGACGTTTCTCCGCATCGGCGCTCTGCTGCCGCTCCTGGCGGCGGCGCTCGCGCTCCTCGCGCTCTGCCTCGGCCTCGCGGCGCTGCTGCTGAGCCTGCTCCTCGGCCAGCTCGGTCTGTCGACGCTGCTCCGCCTGTCTGAGCTCCTCCTCGACGTCCGACAGGCGGCTGTCGGGCCGCAGACTGACCGGCTCGGACAGGCGGCTGTCGGGCCGCAGACTGGCCGCCTCGTCCAGGGTGCTCGTGTTGCTCGTCTGGCGATTCATGCCGCGCGCCTGGCCCCGCAGCGTATCCTCGTCATCGAAGTCGTCGGCGGCGAACTGCCGCACGATGTCGTCGACCAGCCGGTCGGCGCCGGCGGTCCGCGAGCGGCGAGACGACGCCGACAGCTCCTCGATGTCCACCTCGGACGTGTTCGGTCGGGCCGGCCGCGTGGCGCGCTCCCGGCCGATCGTCGACGCCTGAGAGAGCACCTCGTCAATGTCGACGTTCGTCGAGTGCGAGTCGGTGCGCTCCCGGTGTCGGTTGGCCCAGGAATCCTCAGCGCCGCGGCCGCCCGTGTCCTGCAGGAAGTCGCGCACCAGGTCGTCGGCGAAGGCGGAGGCGCTGCGGAAGCTGTCACTGCCGCCGCGGCGACTGCCGAAGCCTGAGTCCTGCCGCCTGCCGAAGAACTGGTCGATCTCGGCGCCGTACCGGGAGAAGATGTCCTCCTCGTCGCGGCGGCGGCGCTCTTTGCGATCGCGCATCTCGCGCACCAGCGTCTCGGCGCGCCGCACGGCGTCCTCGAAGAAGTCGTCGGAGCCGGTGCGGCGCAGCTCGCGCTGGCGGCGCCACCGCGCCTCCTCCTCCCGCCACGGGTCGTCATCGTCGCGCGCAAAATCGCGCGCCAGCTGCTCGGCGCGCCGACTCGCGCTGTCGAAGAAGTCGCTGCGCCCGCTGCGGTCCCTCTTGCGGTCGAAGAAGGTGGCGACCAAGTTGTCGACCTCGCGGCGAATCTGCTCGCTGCGCGCGTTCAGTGAGCTGCTGTCGTCTCGGCGGACGGCGCGGCGCGCCTGTTCGTACCGATCCTCGTCCGCCAGCAGCCGCTCCAGCTCCCGCAGGATCCCGCCGCCGCCGCCGGCGCGTGGGGAGGCGGCGGCGCGGCTGCCGGCGGTGCTGAATGTGTCCAGGTGATCCGTCTGCAGCGAAGCGCTGCGTCCTCCGGTGCCCAGGCGGCGCGGCTCGGCCCGGCTCGAGCTGCTGGTCTGACTGACCTCGCTGACCTCACTGACCTGGCTGCGCTTGGTAACGCTCTGGCGCTGCGTGGCACCACCGCCCAGGTCGGCCACGGACGTGGTCTGGCGGCTCTCGCTCTTGCTGACCGAGCTGGACTGGCTGGTCTGCTCTCCATCGGCCAGCTGGCGGCGCGACTGCGCCTCGGAGCGCTCGTTCACCTTGTTGTAGGTGTCCTCCGAGTGTTCGACGCCGCCGCCGTCGAGCCGGCGCGCACCCTTCTCGTGCCGGTCGAACTGCTGCACGCTGCGCGACGCGGCGCTCTGCACGCCGGCCTCGTGCGCCGCCTCGGACTCGATCTGGCTGCGCTCACTCATGGTGACATTGCCGCGCTGCTCGTGCCGGGACTGGCGCTGCACGCTCGACTGGCCGCCGCCGGTGGCCGTCTGCACGGCGGCGCTCTCGGCGCTGCTCTCGAAGCTGCCGCCGCGCTCCATGGTGAGCGGGCGTGACAGCCGCGCGGGTCGGCACTGCCCGTCAGAGGCCGGCTCCGATGTCGGTCGCCGGGTCACGACAGGTGGCCGCGGCTGTGGTCGGCGGACAGGCTGACCGGCCGGCTGCCGCCCTGCGGACTCGCTCACCCTCAGTCACTGCTGGTCCGCTGGCTGGTCCGGTATCTCGCGGAGTGCGTCTCCCCACTATGTTATCACTGTCCCCGCGAGGTGTCCGTGTCGCGGCGGCGGGCTGCGGCGCTCTGCGGACGGACGCCACTGCCGCCGCCCTCTCCAGGCCCCGCTGGTGCCAGACGCCGACGCGGCGAAGATTCCAGTGCCGGTGCCTATTTCGGGCGGCGTAACCGAACCGCGGGCGCTAGGGAGGCTGCCAGCGCCTGCCGGCTGGCCGCCAGACGCCGACGGCACCGCCTGCCGCGCGCCGACCGAGACCTAGTCAGGGGGCTAAATCGACGACACCGCCCCCGCCGCGGCACAAATGTTTCCGTGACTAAGAGGGCTGACTAACTATGAAGCTGTTTGGGAAGCTGCCATGGTTGTTCGTGACGTCACCAGTTTTTGGTGCGTTCAGATGTGGGGGCGACGCGCTTTCGTCGAGACCGGCTGGCTGACCAAGTTCTGACGTCATCTCAATGTCGTCGTCTTAACGGTGACGTCATTTGAGGCGCTGACGTGCCTTTGGACGAGAGAACCTACCTCGTTACGAAATGCCTATTTTGGCTCAGAGCTTTATACGCCTTAGGTCCTTCGTCAGCATGTATCGGAAGAGTTCTCGAGAACGAACACTTTGTGGCCGATTGTCCTAACACTCTTGCGGAATGCACTGAAGCCTGTAGCTCAGAGCTGGGCGCTGCTCCAGTGTAGTTGGACTACCGCCTGAGCAGCGAGTCGCCTGTTCGTGCTGTCCATTGGCCGCTTCCCATGCCGCCATCACATCGAAAAGTCGCTCGGCTAGGTGCGGCGTGCCTCCGTTTTTACGCTGTATTGATAGTCACGGCACTGGCGTCCGGGCCGGCGGTATGTTTTGGACAGGGTGTTGGCAGCCGGATCAGCGGTCTATTTTGGCAGCGGCGGACGCCATCAAAGTAACGACCGGCTTACGATATCCGCTGTTTATGGGAGACATGGAATTGAGATTTTGTGGCGTTGTTTGTTTGTCCATAAATAGGTTAAGAAGTCAGTGCTTTTGTGGCAAACGATATGCGTAAAATATTTTGCTTTTAAAGGCGCGTTGAATCAAATTATGACTCAAAGGTATTGTTATTCTTGTTAGCGAAACGACTGAAACCGATCTCCGTCGCTAAAACCGTTTCGTAATCAAGTTATATGTTGCTGCTTACATTTTAGGGAAGTCTAGATGCCAATATCCGATGAAGCTTGAGTGTCTTGATTCCAAACTACTTCACGATAACTATCGGCTGTTTTTATTATATTTGATATAACATCGCATATGGAATGTGGATAAATAGCTCAACTAATACAATGTGTCCGCCCGGCTGGTGGAAACATTTGCAATTTTCGGCCTACCGTTTGTTAGACGCTGCTTCCATATGCTGTTCGGTGCCATTACTGACTCCCCCCTCCCCACACCGCTACCCACTGGGCTGAACTCCTCCCCCTCCCCTCCCCTGCAGGTGAAGCCGTCGGACCGCCTACCCAGTGCGACCACGTCGCCGGCCGACTCTGAGAGTACCACCGCCGCCACCACCGACTCGGCCAAACGGTTCTTCCGCAGCCGCGACCTCAACAGGAAGGCCACCGTCGTCATGTCCAAGGAGCTCAAGTGAGTGCGCGGCTCGCTCTCCGCCTCCACACTGCCCCGTTTCCCCGCCCCATCTCCTGACGCACCGTCCCGCTTCCCATCTTCCAGCCTCCCACTCCATCCGCCCCCGGTTTTATGGGCGGTGCTGCTGGGTCCGCAGCGCCCGCTGTTGGGGCTCCCGACAGCCGAAAGTAGACGACTGGCCCCCACTCTGGGGGGCCACAGTGAACCTGTGACAGGTCACATGTTTTGACAGGGAGGGGAACTCTACCTCTCACTCTCAACGAAAAATCGACGTGATCATGGCATTTCATCAATCATCTTCTTTTTATTTGGGTTCTTATTTATGCATATGACTTTCCGTGATCCATCTTTGTTAGCCCGCCGTGCTTTCATATAGCGCCAATCAGGCTTGAGTTTTGTTCTCGCTTTTGTCCATTACTGACTTCATGTTGTTCTTGTAAAGCTGTCGTTACAGCTATTTCTATTTACTGGCACCGTCACTGCCCGTGTCAGTAGGGCAAGTGAAGCCTCGTTGGCACCGTGACTAGGTCGATCGCTATCAGCTTTTCTGGTCTTACGTGTTCTGCAGTCTAGTGATCGGTGACGGTTTCGGGAACAATCTGAATAGGCGGAACTTTGGCTGTTGTGTGAGATTTGGAGTACCTATGTGATGAGAAGTATCCTATCTATTTTGAGCGCGCTTGTCGGCGGGCTATTTTGTTCGAACTGTCGACTCTAGTCTACATTGTTTTTGACGCCAAAGCCAACAGCGGACCAATCATGCTGTTGGCAGCTGCCGAACGGGGACGGAGGTGGGGGGGGGGGGGATCTGGGGTGCCAGTGCTCCGGTAGTACGTCATCACGGGGAGGGCGGTACTGCGTGATGTACGACTCAGGTCATCCTTATTATCAGCACTGCTCAGTCACTCCCACTGACTTTTTTGGAGATTAGGACGTACCGCCCCACATGCTTGCTCCGATCACTGTCTATTGCAGCGATTTTGAAGAATTCTGATGTCGGCCGCCTTTCCCCTGCGACTAGTGCCCGGCCGGCTGACGGCCCCTCCTCTCCCGCAGATACCAGGTGACCAGCGGCGGTCTGGTCCGCACGCCGGCCCCCACCCGCCGCGGGCCCTACAAGAACGTCCGCGTTCCTCCGGCGCGGTCAGCCACTGCCACCTCCACCTCCACCTCCTCTGGCGGCGGCTCCCGGCTGACAGAGCAGCAGCGCGAGCTCCTGGCGGCCATCGAGAGCTTGGACGCCCCGGAGCCGGCCTCGCCGCGTCCCGGCACGCCGGCCACGCCGGGCACGCCGTGCACGCCGGCCAGCTCTCTGCGTCTGGAGCTGGAGTCGGAGGAGGAGGAGGTGTCCCCGGTGCGCCGCAGCCCGCGCAAACACCAGCCCCCGGCGGCAGCGGGTACCCCGCGGCAGCAGAAGAGGACGGTGGTCGCCGCCGGCACCCCCACCACCAGTGGTCAGGGGACGCCGAGCGGCGCCGGCACCCCGCTGCGCCGCAGTCCCCGCAAACTGAGCCGTCCGCTGCCGGCACTGGCGGCCGCCGGCACGCCAACACACGCCGAGAACGAGGGCCCCACCCGACTGACACTGACGCCGCGCCGCAGTCCCAGGAAACACCAGCAGTCGACACAGGTTCGTTACGCGTGGAATGGAAGAGAGGCAGGCAGGCAGACAGCAGTTAACACAGGTTTGTTACACCGTACACGGGGAGGGGGAGAGGGACTGACAGGCAACAGTCGACACAGATATCGTCACGGTAAGGTTAGAACGGTGGCGATACAGGCTCGTTAAACTTCAGGTTTAGAGAAGAAGAGCACAGCAGTCAACACAGGTTTGTTTTACGGGAAGAGGAGCTCGAGTTTACATAGTCAGGGGCGGACGGGGCGACAGTGTGGTATGTAGGGTGTTGCCGACTGCGCAATCAATTATTGTGACGTCGGTGCGGTGACTGCTTGTTTCATCAGCTTTCCTTGCGACCTTATGCATTCCTTGTCAATAAGTTGCCGTCTTATCTAAATGTGTTCGTCGGTTGTCGGCAGCCCGTTGACTATATGTCCCCTATCAGCCCCTCATAACCTTAAACCTCCCCACACTTCCCGCTATCCCCACGATAAATCCCATGCGCTCACTCTATGATCCCTCGCCCGTATGACTTCCCATGCTAACTCGTCTGCTACCTGCTTTATAAGCCTTACTGATGGTTTCCTTCTCGGCAGGCGGCGTCGGCGGCGTCCCCAAGTGGGCAGCGCACGCCGCAGGCCGTCTACGACCGACTCGAGGAGGCTCTGCTGAAAATGGAGGCCGGAGAGGACAAGGAAAACGAGTCGCCGCAGCGCAGGAAGAAGGACGAACAGCCCAAGTTCTACTCCATCTTCTACCGGCGAGCGGACGGCAGCAGCGGCTCGCGCAGCGCGCCCGCGCCCGCCCCTGCCCCCGCCAGCGCAGCCGCCAAGTGAGTCATGTCGGGGAAACGGAGGACGCACGGAGTGAGGCTTTACGGTATATTTGACTAAATGCAATGCATTTGGGCTGTGCTGAACGTATCGACATGTGGCTTATGAAATTTCATAGTTGATTTTTTCAGACGAATACGTATGTGATGCGCTGAATGCACTAGATCGCTAAGTTCGAACACCAGAACACACCTGTTCCCCCCCCCCCCCCCACACTCACACAACACACACTAGCACCCAGCCCGGCCCGTGTGACCGTCCTGCCCGTCCGCCTCCCCCAGGAGCGGCCGTCTGCCGGCGCGCTCTGCCGATGACGGTCTGGAGCAGCTGGTGATCGACGCCGGTCAGCGTCAGTTCGGCGTGACCACGTGCAGTGCGTGCTCACTGGTCTACACCATCGGCGACCCGGAGGACGAGGCGACACACGCGCGCCACCACACGGGCTACGTCAGCGCGCTCAACTACTCGGTGAGCACCGGCCACCGGCGGCCGTTATGGCGACGAAACAGAAGGGCTATCTGGCAGTATTGCCGTGGAAGGACCCTCAGTAGGTGATGATGAGCGCTGCAGTCAGAACACCCTGAAACACAAAACAGCATCAGAAACTTCCAGGGCGTGCGTTGGTTACCAAGAGCCTCTCCCGCTCTTACCAGGAGTGGCCCTACCGGCCTGCTCTTTCCCTGCCTTCTGCCCGCGCCTGCCCCTTACCGAGTCGTGGTGTGACGATGCGTCCTCTCCCGTCCTCCAGGGCTGGAAGAAGGAGCGCGAGGTGGGCAACTACGGTGAAGGCCGGATCATCATGGTGACTCCCAAGGACCCGCCGCACGCCTGGAGGAAGGTGGACAGCGTGCTCAGCATCGTGGACGGCGAGCTCGGCTTCGTCGGCATCGGAGTCCGAAACCGGGAGGAGTCCAAGGTAGGAGGAGTGCGGAGCAGGGGGAGTCTAAGGTAGGAAGAGTCCGCAACCGGGGGAGTCAAATGTAGGGGAGTGGGAAACAAGGAGGAGTCCAGGGGTCCACAACAGGAAGGGGTCCAGGGTAGGAGTACAAATTACGACTGCCGCGTACTGGAAGTGTGAGCCTAGCAGTCCACGTGCAGAATATGGTGAAAGGGCATGACTGTGTGCATGAAGATGTAGATATATGTGGGGTTCGGTAATGGGATGCGTCGCGGATATCTGATTGCTATCTTTTAGTACCGATCATGAACGAATGATAAATGTGTGTTCGTTTAGTTCATCTCATCGTTTGTTTTGTTTGTTTTGTTGGGTTAGTCCCTTTCGGTCTGACAAGACCATTTCAGAGCCGGAAGAATGATAGGAATTGGGGGGAGACATTGGTCTGGGTAGGCACCCTAGTGAGTCACTGGGGCTGAGCCCGTCCGAATAGACAGGCCGACCAGCCCCCCCCCCCCCCCCCCCACCCAAGCACTCTCTTCACCCGGCTACGGGTGTGCTTCCTTGGGAGCAGCGGGGCCGCTCCAAGGGTGCATGCCCACATGAGATAAAGCTGCCTGTCCAGTCCGGACCAAGGGTTGCGGCGTGGAGGAGAAGGATTTGAACGTCTTGAGGATAAAAGCGACGGACGGGTCTAAATCTCACCGCTGAGGCCGGAAAGAAGACTGTGTCACAAATTGTTTTGTGAGTTAGATACAAGAGGGGTTTTCTATGGCTAACGATAACCCCTTAAGATCCGTGAAAGCAATCATGGCTGCGATGATCACCATTCATGTCAGTGACACGGCACTAACCGCCTTCCCCACACCGCAGGTTTTCTTCTACGTGGTGGGGCGGCAGATCGTGGGCTGCCTGGTGGCGGAGCCGGTGAACCGCGGTTTCCCCGTCCTGCCCAGAGATGGCAGCACGGGCGTGCGCTGCGCCACAGAGCCGAAGCCGTGCCTGGCCGGCGTCTCGCGCGTCTGGGTGCACCGCGACTACCGGCGCCGGCAACTCGGATCACGACTGGTTGAGGCCATGAAGTGAGTGCTGCTGAATTATTCTTGGGCATTACCCCGCTCTTGATCATACAGCGGGGCGATCAAGCTCGCTTACCGCTTAACCCGTTTCATTGAATTTCGGTAAATGCTTACTAAGCTTTTTGAAACAGTTATCAGATTAGTGTCTCGATTCACTGCACTGCTTATTGTTTTGCCACGTATGAATACAGATGAGTAAGGTGTTTACCGCGGTATACGGCTGATGGTTGCTTGCCGTCAATTTTTATAACACCTGCTTCACATGTACGTTTGTAAATCGCGTCCCGCTGACTGCGGGCTGTCCCGACTGGCGTACCTGTAACCGTGACCTCTCCCCTCCCCCAGGAGCCACTTCTCGGTGGCGCCGCTGCGCTGGCAGGACGTGGCCTTCTCCGACCCGACCCCTGACGGCCTGCAGTTCGCCTCGGGCGTCACCGGCTCGCCCGAGTTCCTCGTTTACAACCAGTGAGCGCCGGCCGGCCGGCCGGGCGGGGACGGGAGGGGACCGCGGACGGACCGCAGGGACCACGGACCGTAGGGACCGCGGACCGTCAGATGGAGGGACCGCGGACCGCCTGATGTAGGGGACCACGATTTGTCAGGGCTGTGCTATTCGTTCCTGAGTCGAGGTAAAGGAATAGCACACGAGCTGTTTTTATTTGTCGTTTTTTTTTTCCTTCAATTTAGATGTTTTCGATTTTTTCCATTTTAACCGTTTCTTAGAGATATTCTGTTGTCCAGGGATACTGTATTTTGGCGGAGATTTGGGCATCGTTTGTCTGAATGTGTTTTTATGGAGTTGTGTGTGTTCTGGCGAGTGGCAAACCCTTTTGAAAAGCTGGATGGGTGCTAGTTCATATTTGAAGTTAAAGCATATGCATCTTTGGACGGAATCCACACTAAGTGCGCCGGGAAGGCTTAACGAATGTATGAAGTGCTGACACGGAGCCTTACTAGCATTACCTTCTGTGCTGAGTTTGGACAATAAGTGAGCTCAGTGGGCTATCGCTGGCCGATCAGAGTGGTCCGCTAACCCAGCTGTTTTTTGAGCGGGCTCTCGATTTCGAGGGATCCTAATACAGGGGGAGCGCATGTGTCTATAGCGGCGTGGTGAGTGCCTTTAGAGTTTGTATAGCACATATATCCCGGCGCGTCGCGGCGGGAGGGGTTAAGCCTGCCGGTGGTGTAGCCTGCCAACGAATTCGGAGCGGCCCCGGCCCCACACCGGGCCCATTACCGCGGCTTTGTGACATAGACCTGCGAGCGTTTGGATGGTCACGTTCTTTGATGAATAAAAGCGAAAGGAATTTCCATCCTGGTGTAAATGCGATGGCCAATATCTGTCTTGGCGAGTCACCGCAGTCCCGACGGACTCATATATTGTCTGCGGTGATGGGTTTGAGTCAAAGAAGATAAGTGCGAGGATATAGCAGAAGGAAGCTGGAAGTTTCGTTCGCTACCAGTCACAAAGTTTGCGTAGTTGCAGCGAAGTCCCGTCACCGTACGAGTAGTGTTGCGTTCTGTCTGTCAGCGTTTGCCGTCTGGACACTGCGATCAGGAGCCGGCCGGCAGAGGGCACCGCTGTGCCGCCGAGACCTAAACAACGGGTCGGGACAGTTTGATGAACCGTGTCTAGAGAGTGCAATGCTGGATGACCGTATCAACACAAAGAGGTGCGGGCTGGACAGCTGACTGGATAGGGATGGATGGCGAGATGAGATGTAGGCAGGGAGTGTGTGGAGTTTTGTTAGAATGCTGAATGTACAGAGGATGGAGGATCCGAGGATGCCTAATAGTGGGTGGGATGGTGTTGAAGGGCTAGATCTACATATAATGGAGAACCAGAGGCTGGATGGCCGGTGGGTGGTGGCAACTTACGGCTGCGCGGCTGATGGTGAAACGCTACGATTCGGGGATGACGGGAGTGATCCATGGACGAGCACTGACGACTTCAGAATGGTGTTCCGCTTTTCAGTCACAAGCTTCTATTGACTGGAACGTTGTGTTGCTTATCACGCAGTCAAAGCGTGTCCATAGTGGGCGTAGGGTCACAAGAACAAATTGTGTCACTCAACCTGTGTGATGCGGCGCAGTATATCATTTCAGGCAACTTATTTATCTGGGAATGGAGTCATCAGTCTGTAGCCAGCTAAACATCAGGACTTGACGTATTCTCGGCTACTGCTCTGACCTATGCTAAGACCATCCTAGCGATTTTAGAATAAACGGCAATAGCGTATAGGTGCCGCTCAATTCATTGAATTTCTTCTGTCATTGCACTTAACAGGATCCGGAACGACTGAAGAGTGAAGAGACTGAAAACGAGCGTCTAAGAAGGAAGTAAAATGTGGAGTCGATTTTACCTCCGCTTCAGTCCCTTCTGTCCAGACGCTCCGTTCACTGACTGTAATTACGATCAGGGATGCGGAGCCGTGGAAATTTCAGACGGCTCCGGCTCCGGAGAAAAAAAAATCGGCTCCGGCTCCGGGTGAAATGCCATGGCGGCTCCGGCTCCGGCTCCGAGTAAAATGGTCCGGTTCCGGCGGCTCCGGCTCCGGCTCCGACTCCAATACACAGTGCATCCCCTATGCAGTTAAATACGGGTGGAAGAAAAAAGACGATGGGATTGCCGATTGGTGCACGTTGCTTCTGTATTTGCATAACAAGGCTATTTTCATATGTTGAATACCGCATGTTTTCAGTTTTATTACCTTGAACTGTCAAACCGAACTAGGTCAATATTTTGTTTCCTCTTCAAAAAAAAAGGAGCCGGAGTCGCCCCCTTTTTTTACTGCTTCGGCTCCGGCTCCGGGCAAAATATGCCGACTCCGGCTCCGCACCCCTGATTACAATCCTACATTAGGTACTTCCTACTAAATTTTGCAGCATGCTTCTCGGGATCGGCCTAGCATGCTCAGCGATAGGCCTTTTGACACCTTTCAACTGTCAAAAGGCAAAGGCGAGGCGCCCCATGCAATCGTCCATGGCGTAACGAAGAATTGTCATTACATGCGCAGCAACATTTTTCGGTGGCATCGCAATTGTATGCCTTGGTGCAGTCATACTAAATCAGGAGAGAATTAAAACGCTTAGCGGCTCGTCTGTTTTTAGTCGAGAATTGTTTGCCTTATATTTCATTGCTGACATGTTTTGCATTGTCTGCCCTCATAGACAGTTATTCGCTGTAACCGTCTAATTAGGCAGATGCCACTTATAACGCGATGTTTCCTCCTCTGAACAAAAGTTCTATTTATCCTATTATGATGCGGATGTATATTGCTATAAAGGAATGTTCCATGCATTTGACATATGCCTCTATATATCACCTTTTGTTTTATGTACCCGTATGTGCCTATTTACCTGTTTGATGCCCGTGCTGTAACCTATATACCCAATATATTGCTGAAATGGGTACAGTATCACCATCTAGGCTCAATAGGACGGAATTTGTCTAAATAAGCGTCACTTTTGGTTATCGATTGCGATACTGATCTGCATAGTCCAGCCGCTGTTGAAGACTTGAAGTTTTATCTCTTTATCACCATTTTCAATATTTGGTCGTACTGATTTCGGCTGTAGTTGATATTGTAATATTTTTTCAGCAATATGCGCTACCTACCTTTCCCATGATAACTGGCTGATGCATCATTTTCCTCAAGACGAAAAGATGCGCATTCCGCAACTGCTTGCCTCTGATCGGCGTCTCCCAGATGTTCTACGTTTAAAACTTTAATCCCGTCTCGGTCGCCTGCTCGGGTTTGGCGGCGCTACCCTGGCCTGCAGACCTGGTTCATGGCTGGGTTAGATCACATTCACGGTGGAAGGCCACCGCCGTAGAAAACTTGATGGATTCAGGGGGCCGTGCCCCCAGGTCAAAGCTGTCTTCTCTGCCCCTCCCTATCCCAGAGGTGTCCCGATACTGCTATTACGATACGACGGACCTACCTCCGAAGTGCCCTCGAACACCTTTTGCTGCCAGCCAATAATCAGTCATGGTGTGCACAAAAGGTGCGACTGGGGGCCGCTGGTGGATGGTATAAATATACTCGGGTAGCACTTAGCAGTATACACTACATATACAAGCAACGTCATTCCATAACCGAGACTAGAGGAACGTTTTTATGCAGTGTGATCGAGAATGGGCGTCCGATGCCTGTCGCGTTGCAGAGTGCCCGTTCATGCTATTGTAACGGACTAACTCTGACAACGGCACGGCATACCTACTGATTGACGATACATTCTAAAGGAATGGGTATTGTGCATTTGCAATGTTTTAAAACGCCTGAAGGCTGCAGAAAAGTCGCCCGTCGTTTCCTCATGCACGCCCAGTGAGGTAGTTAGTAGATCCGTCTTACCAAGCGCCGCGACTCTAGCACCGAATATTCTACACGATTTGGATAACTGATGCCTCGCATAGCTTCACTTATTCACACGTTCCTATCTCTTTCCTCTCCATTCATTTTCCTTTCCTCTCCAATTCACCGAGGATAGTTCTATTTTATCGTTGAGTAGGGCTTATTGCGCCGGACCTCTAAAGACACAAAGATAGGCACGTCCACAACATTGCCATGGACATTGGACGTCACGTGGGACTCGCGACAATGGCTACCTAACATGGCGATATTGTTTTGCCCGATCTTGTTTTATCATGTAAGCTAGTTAAGGATATCAAAATTCTAAACAGCATTCCGATTTATTACTATATGCACTAGACAGCATTGTATTATGCATTTTATTTACAGTACTGTCACTTTCCCCTAATTGAACATTTCCCTGACATCAACATTTGTCCTTGTAACGAAAACAATGCCGCTCATTTTATTGAGATCTCTCGGCATTGGTTCTTACAGCATGTTTGACTTATGCCTCATGCAGTGAGCATATTAGTTCTGTTGTAATACTTTCAAAGGTTGACACCGGCACCCCTTTCATGTCGAGATTGACCTGAAGCGCCGGATATCCGTAATATAGGCACAGTGCATGCCTTTTATGAGATTAAGTATGTAAAATAGAAGTGATATTTTATCACATGGCCCCTTGATCTTTGGGTGTGTTATATTATTACATTGAAATGCATAAATTGCGACTGGGTGACTGGTTACACAGAATTCGCAAAGGTGCTACTTTCCAGATGTCGAGACTCGAGAAAGGCTGGACCGATTGCGCTCAATTTTGGTTCTTGGTGTCCAATGCGCACGTCGCACGTGCAGGGGTGCCACTTCCACACCTCGAGACCGACTAGGCGGAGTGCGCTCAATTTGTTAGACCATTAGGGACCGGTTAGTAAGGTGCCGAGCGGCGAGCACCAATCAGTTGGGGTATACGTATGTACCATTTCGCACTTTCGCATGTGCAGAGATCACTCGCTCTTTTGTAGCCCCTCCCCCAAAGATATCTCTGGGATAATGGTATTTAATGCTTCTAACGGGTCAAAACTTTTTTATGCAAGTTGTCAAAGCGTTGGTTACATACCTATTACGCGGATTTAAGCGCGCTTCCAAAGCCAACAATAACAACAATGCCGTCATAATTGCAGTTCGTTTGCCACAGCTCCTGTAACCATGTGCATTGTGCATTGTGCATTGTTTCAGCACATAGTATGTGCTTCACTTGGTGACGAAAGTTACGGGTACAGGTGGCCACGCTATCCACGCTCCCATAAATCGTAATTACCGTACTAATAAGGACACAGGCGGGGAGTGGTGAGCATGCGGCAGTTCCGGGAGACGGCAGCGGGCTATGTAAGCCCAGTAAACCTGCCGAGCCCTCGCCGCTGTGTGGCGATTTTGGCTCAATGTTGGAAGCTCGGGGCCGTAAGTCCCGTTTGCGGTCGGCGCTGTTCGGCCGACATTCTCCGGGTGCCCCACGGTAGCGTTCCTTCCCCCTGTTTCCTATAGTGACATCACAAGGTCACCGTGCAGCGAGCGCCGGCGAGTTTTCTAATTCCCTCTCACCCGTCTGTGCTGTTCAGGGAGGCCGAATGGTGTCCAGTGTCCAGGCGGTATTTGTTACCGCAGTCCGGACGAACGCTTCCGAACATCATCACGCAATAACCCACTGTGCACCGTGCGGGGTCGATGAAATGAGTGCAATGAGGTGCATGCTGATATGGCCCAGTGTGCCATGAATTTGGATGTCATGATGCACTAAATTATAGTACGCAGACGGTCACGCAGTATTGTCCATGTCCATGCCCTGCAACCTGCAACAAGGTAAAATGATGACGTTGTGAGTCTGGAGGCCAGCAATATGTCGGTGGCGCTCAATGCGAGCCGACACTAATGTCGGGCAATGACAATGGTCAGTGAGCC